AATTTATTTTTATTTGTTTGTATTTGATAACAATATCATTATGGCCATTGTTCGATTACTCCAATTTACGAAAGCAATCTCACTTTAATCGGTCTTTCTTGTGTAACAAGTCAGCTTTCGCAGACACACCGACGGGTAAACTGGCAGATTGGCAAATTTGCATATATACATACATAAATACAAATATCCATGTATGTTTATAAATAAGACGCGCGTGTGTGCGAATTGTGACATATGTAGATATTTGGAGTTCCAATTCCTGCCGAAAGTAACTGTGCATCTACTTAGATGCATTTGTATGCCTACAGATATTAATATTTTCAGAATTGGCGCCAACAACTAAAGACACCATTAACCTACTGCACCGCGAAATGACTGTTGTAACCCACTTCAGAACTATTAAGGTCTGTAATTTGCAAAAAAAACAACAATAAATACACTTATGTTAAGTGACAACTTCTTTCAATTCAGTTGTTACATTGTTCTATGCGTATTTACCGCCTCTAAGCAACATATTTACCGCATATTGTTCGTTGTAGTGTTGGCACAGTTGACCCCGCAGGCCATGGTCTGAGGCCGTGATTGCGAAAAGTGAAAGACACGAAGATAGCAGACGATAATAGCAGCGGTACATACGCGTTTTACAGACTCATAAAAGCCAAGACGCGGGTTTAGCCACTGCCAGGTACTGATATACACAAATGCATTTGAACAAAAGTATGTACATACACACATACGCTCATAGAAACACCGCTAAAGTAGTACATTTAAAAACATGTGTTAATAAATTTTACAATTACTACGTCTACAAAGGCAGCAAGCGCTCAAAGAAACTTCAACCGTGAAAAATATATTATTAAGATGTTATGAATGCGCGCAACACACACAAATATTACTTGAACGTATGTGAATGTAGTTCAAATTCATATAAGCTAGAATATACAGTGTGTTCAATGACTATGCGTTTTTAAATAACGCAAATTAAGTACTTAAAAAATATTTTTAGCTTTTATTAATTACACTTATATATGGTATATATTTATATATATTTTATTTTAATATTAATATTCTCAAACTCTTATATTATGAGACTAAATCAAGAAAAAATATAACTTCGATTGCACCGAAGCAAGAAATCCTCCACAAATAAAAATGTTTCCATACAAGAACTTAATTTCAATAATAATAACACAACGCTCAGTTTGTATGACAGCTATATGCTATAGTTGTCCGATATCGGCGGTTCCTACAAGTGAGCAACTTCTTGGGGGGAAAAGGATGTGTGCAAAGTTTCAGATTGATAGACAGATATACATGGCTAACTCGACTCAGCTCGTCACGCTGATATATACTTGTAGTTTGTACATATATATTTTATTGGGTCTTCCACTTTTCTTTCTGGGTATTACAACCTTCGTTGCAAACTTAATATACCCTGTTCAAAATATAATAAATTGGAATGGTTCAATGTTTGTAAGCATACATATGTATATACTTACATGTGTATAGAAAACGGTGCAGACATATGCCTACTTATTGAATATTATATTATACATATTGACCAACATAAAAGTTGTAAAGTCAGTTGGAAAGTCGGAAATTCCTATACCTGGTATATTGGGGCTATGGGAGAATCTGAGCTGATTGAACAATTTTATTAAGATAACTCACACATTGGCCGATATTTTCAGCAAAAAGTCAGCTATAGGCACTTTATCCACTATGTCGGCATCTAATCCAATTTGAACGGTTTTACAACTGAGTTGGACTACCTTTAGCGCATAGTTACAAAGTTTTATTCCGATTTTTAAATCAAATACAATATTATGCACTAAATTTGGTTGAAATTGCTCAAGTAGTTGCAGATATATAGGATTTACCTTAAAAGTTAGCGATTTCATGCCCAATGTCCAATTTTTATTGCGATTCCTATAACGCCTGTCTGTATCATTTTGAATTTGCTTTTGACGAATTTCTTTAGTAAGTTACAGCACTTTTAGTACTTTTCAACATAAACGTTGTATGGGGAGTGGATGTGGTTATCATCCTATTTCGCGCTGTATAAGAAAGAGCTAGACATACTTGTTTTAAACAAGTTTGGTTGATTTGGCTTTAGAGGTTTGGGTTGTTTATACATACATACATTAAAGTAATATGAAGGAGGGCCCCGCCCATTTAAAAAAAACATATGCATTACAATTTTGTATCTTAATTTGTGGCTTAGTATAACTGAACAATCTTTGTCTCATCGGAGCATAGAATCCTGTGCCAAAGTGACAGAGGTTCACTTACAAACATTCTATCAATATCAAGTAGCTGCTTTATGTGCACACTTTTCAGTAAAGGTAATTTTCTTGGACTACGTGCTTTTAGGTTAGCAGTGATAAACCTTTTTCTTCTATACGATGTTGATATTGACATTTGTATTTAATTTTTTAACTGCCTGAAAGTCGTAAACGGCCCCTTTTTAAGCTCATCCTGCTTATGAAAGTTTTTTTGTACCTTCCCCTCTTTTCAGCTTTCGGCGATCAATTTTCGGAGTTTAATATCACTCCATATGTTATTTCCAAAAGCTCCCTTATATAGGCAAACATTTTCCTTTCCGAGAGCAACTTTTTAATAATTTTTCTCAGTAGAACAATATCGAGCTCCTTCCGGTTTTGAAGGATTAACAATAATTTAAACTCCCAACTCGCTGAAATTCGAAGTTAGATAAGAATATTTGAATATAATGAAAATTTATGTAGCCGAGAACCAAAAATTTAATGTCGATAACGGTAGATAAACCGCCTATTTGATTTTGTTCTTATTTTTTCGAACAGATTGTTTCGTGCTCAAAGTAACAAAAAACGCCGTAAAAAACAATTTAGCGTGCATATGTTAATCAAGTTCTTTTTTTTTTAACTCTAACTTTGCATAACTGTTTGTCGAATAAAAATTTTATTCATGAATTTCTATGTTCGCGTTGGTTGTTATTATTATTTCGAACACGTCTGTATATGTAGTATATACATATGTAGGTGTATTGGTCAAAATGAGTAAAACTCGGAAAACATTCAGATCTACTTCACCTATAAGGTTATTTACTTTGCGAAACAAAAGAAGTTAAATCAATGGGTGGTAAATGAAAATTATTATAATCAGAATATACAATGAATAAACTCACAGTATGAAATTTCGCCACAATAAGTTATTTTTTACATTACGGAAATAGTGTTTATCCTTTCACATATACCATATACTATATATAGTTTCTGCCCCCTTTGCAAATTTTCCATTTTCCAATAATTTTTTTACCATAGGAAAATGTTTTAAAAGAACGGCGTAGAAGCACTAATAACACTCTATGGACCTTTAGCATGGAATGGAATGTTCATTTCAGTAAGTTTAAATATTTATTTATTTTATTTTCCAAAAATTAATTAAAGCGTTTGCTAATTGCCTATATTGCTTGCCTTAGCGCACATGCCCTATCTTCTGGATACACGAATGTGGCGTATTGCAGAAATCTCAAGTGTGCTAATTTATTAAAAGCTAACAATTGTGCGGATATACATACACACATTCAAGTACCTCTATGTGGGTAGTTATTTGTATGTATTATTCACAGTTAAACGATACAAAGGAATATCCGAAAAGAATATTACAAATACATATGGAAGGGGCTACTTGGGCGTGCATTTGAAATAACATTGCTTGCAATAACAATGTACAGGCTATATATAATATGCATATACATATGTATATATGTATACCTATACTTTAAACATTTTTGAATATAAACAAATGTGATAATTTATATGTAAGTGTAAATATTCTTAATATAGAAAAAGTACCGTACTTATGAATAACACTGAAATTCTTGAGAAAGTGTATATATTTCGTGACCTGAACGGTATATTTTGTACGTAAAATCAAATAAGTATAATGAGTCAGTTCCATTTCCTATATATTGGTTAGGCTCGCCGATTTTGTAACGGCATTAAACGTATTCATGCATTCATATTAAACATGAACGGAAAACGCTAATTATTCGACTGTCCTAGAGCTAAATTTGTGATTTATTCTTTGAGAAGTCCTTCAACCGATTCTGAACAGCTAATGGTGTCAAGGTGGCGTCGCTATTAGCAACAAATTTAAAAAAGCTTTAAGATGCTTACCATTAAACCTACACAATAGTGAACGGCAGGAATTTCCGAAGAAAAACTAAGAAATAAACTTTAACTTCGGGATATCTTTCACAGGTGTATTTTTTATCTTGATTTTGATAGCATAACTATATGCTATAGTGGTCCGATCTGAACAATATGTTCGGACATTGTATTAATGACATTGATCGGTCAGCTTGTATGACAGCTATATGCTATAGTTGTCCAACACTGGCGGTTCCGATATATAGCAACTTCTTGAGCAGAAAACGGCGTTGGCAAAAATTTACATCGATATCTCAAAAACTTAGGGGGATTAGTTCGCGTATACAAACACTTACAGACAGACATGAAAAAATCGACTCAACTCGTCACGATCATTTATATATGCTATACTTTATAGGGTCTCCGACGTTTTCTTTTAGGTAAGGTAAATGGATTATATGCTTTATAATGTGAACAACTAAAATACACTGTTTTTTAAACTGATCTTTAAGAATAGTAAAAACATAAAACCACAGTTTGAGACAAATTACATTTTAAAAGTGGTAGAAAGTTTTTGATATGGTATCTGTCTGACTTTCGCTTCAAAGATACATATATACATACGAGTACATATGTATTATATTAGGGCTCTTAAAGTTATTCTAATAACTTTCAACACTTTTCGAATATTCGACAGCAAACGGTTAACCGGATAGTCGAAATGAGCAGTTAAGTGAATAGTCGACGACTATCCGAATTTTATTATTCTAATAATGCCCTATCCGGTTAATCCGGTTAATTGAATACCAATAGCTCTAATATGTATGTATGTATGTATAAACATAGAAAAAACGTAGGAACTCTTACCTTAACATACTGTTTCCATTGGTATTTTTGTTTGCGTCTGCTGGCTACCACTTACAGATGTGGTATTTACTGATGTATTTTGCGTAACTTCCCCACCTGCATATCCTCCGACCGATGGTAAACCTTGTGAAGAACTTGAATGCTGTACGCCATTTGTTGTGTTTGTAATCTCTTGTCGCGAACGGGGACAACAAAAACGCTTACAAGCGGCCCAAACTTGTGGTTGGCAACCAACCACAATGAAAATAAACACACCTTGCAAAGCATTTATCATGTCAGTAAAAAACCAAACAGAATGGGGTCCTCCAACTACCCATGATATTACGTCGGCTATCCAGGTAACCCCCATTACCACGACTAGTTTTAAACATACTTTCCCCAGTGCGGTCTTTTCGGTGGTCGATTTGACATCGTCTCGCTTCCACAAACCGCATGTTAATTGATGAGTAGTTGATATGAAAAGTACAATGTTAGCACACAGTAAAAGTCCAATTGGGCCGAAGAAGTATGCAAAAATTGATAAATGCTCGCCGCTAAACCAACAACTACGTTCGCCAAATCCTGGTCGTAATAACTGTGTCTCTGGCACATGATCTACTGTAAAAGCAATTGCGCTTATCAATAAGGGCACACCCCAAGCGTACGCCGAATATAGTCGTAAACGTAACAGTTCTTGATTGCGTTCGAGAGAGCTTGGTCTAAAGTCGCGAAATGTCCACCAAATATTGAAACACATGGTGTTTAGCCAAAAGAAAGCAGATAGAAAGAAAAAATGCATTGTGCTAGCAAGTAAAAGGCAGGTGAATGAACCATGTTCAAGCGAGTGGGATAATTGTGTGTAGGCGAGTATTAAATCTCCAACAAACAAGCAAAAAACGTAGTAAATCTGACAACGCCAATGAAGCATATGATGAACAGAGGGCATCATATAGCCAGCTATCAACGTAGCTGCCAGAAAAACCACTGAAATTACGATTCCAATGTTAAGCGCTGCTGCTTGAACCATATTACTAGTAGTGCTACGGACAGCCGCTATAGCATTAGCAGGTGCTTCGGTAGAAAAGTGATGAAGACATGTGAATATTTTAACTGTAACAATTACGCCCTTTTCACGAAAATGTTCAAGGCAATAATCACCCGTAGATATGTTTTTATGTGGCAATTTCAGACTTCCATCCTCGTCATCCATTTGGTTTTCATTCCAATCCCCCGCAATGGCATAAGGTACAACTTTATGGTGGCATGTGGGAAACCCGTATATTGTCTGGTACAAGCTTTCATTTAAAGGCAATTCAGGTGTACTAATAACGTTAGTATCATCATTACTGTTGGGAAATATGCAAGTTTCGTTTGTAGCATCATAAATTCCATTCCAACCGCAGCATTTTCTTATTTTTATTCGTTGCTGAGAATTTTGCCCTCTAGGAAAGCAGACTAGCGCCACATTTCTATCAACACAATATCGCTGGGGTTCGATAAATTGTTTCCTCTCACCCAAAAATAAAGAACCATTAGAAAATATTAACCAATTTCCGCCTGCAGAGAAAAGTTCCAATTCTTCCTCGGTGCAACTACGTTTTGTTTCTTTTGCATCATTCACCATCGACACATCCTCACTGGAATTATTATTGTCCACATCTACGATTGGACGTACATTTTCCTGGAATGTCATAAACTTCGGCTTTCCACCTTGAGGACTATGATATCTTCGTTGCATAATACGATAGATCAAGGGCACCCATAACTTGGAATTGCCCATTACACAAGTTTTATTCATATCCATGTGCTCATTGTACCGACAGCATTTATTTAGGTTCACTTGTGGCGGAGGTATCCCCGGTAATGCTGTTGTTATGGCCGGTGCCCCATCTGTAAAAGTCGGATTTGCACTGGGTACTACGTTGTGGGTTAAAGATTCCGTTTCAATCGTTTTTTTTTCAACATCATTTGTTGCATTTGTCAGTTTTCCACGATGCAGCAATGAATACAGAATAAGGAAAACTAAGGTACTCCTTCTAATGTTTGATATTTGCATTACATGCATATTGCAATTATATAAAAAAATAAGTAAACTTTTCAATGCCACTTCGAATTTTATTGGTATTACCACACAATGTAAAAATATAAATACTCGTACAAAATATTTATCTGAAGCTGCATTGTTTGGTTTTCGTACCTTCACTACACTTTTATTTCATTTCTCTTTGGGTTGCAATAGTTTCATTATTGCCACTACCTTCACCACATATGTATTTCGTGAGCTTACACACTAAATTTCACTGTTTTGCAATTGCCATAATTTCACTGCTACGCTGAGGAAGATTCGTTTTACAATAATAATTTGTTAATAATATGAGAACTCGGCAAAAATGGAATTAACGAGGAAAATAAAAATAAATAACACGCGCTCGAAAAACTAAACCAACTGAATTCTTCACCTAATTGCAACTACTAATTGCATCACGTTGAATTTTTAACACTGAACTGAAGGTGGAAAACACAGCGGTTAATCGACTTTGCGCAGAGAACGTTGAATTTCTATTATTTCGCGTCGTCGTTGGTTTCCTCTCTTTTTTTTAACTTTTCGACATTTCTTGGCATTCCGTTTTGTGTTATTCTCATATTTATTTCTCGATCAACTTAGTGATGGGAAGAAATCGAACTAGTAGTCGTATATTGAAGAAATCTATCGATTAATGAAAAAATCAGTCAGGAGACATTATATAAAATTTATAAATAAATTGACCAAATCTTGTATAAGCAGTGCAGAAAAAGTATTGTACATCGATATATGGCATATTGGCGTTCATCCTCATATTTAATTAATAATTATACTGTTATGCTCATTTACAAAATCTTGTATCCCAACATATTAAACAAAATTACATATACCAAGCTTTCATTGATTACAATTACAACAATAATAAATAGAAAATATTTATCCTACACAAACATTTAAAGCCACAATTAAATGTTATTGTCCTATATTAATATATGTATTACTTATACATATATGCACTGCTGTAAATATGTGTGTGTGTATTGGTGGCTATCTGCTAACATACATTGTATTTGCATCCGGTTTGATTCATCCACCATAATGTGATGCGATATAAAAATCAAAACATGGTAAATTGTGGAATATTTAAAAAAAACCAGAAGCATACAAATTGTGTGTCAATCACTGCACCACTAGTTGTGGTCATACAAGCACACATACATATGTATGGTTATGCGCGAACGGTTAAAAATGTTTGCCCATACAAATATGCATATACGTAGAAATAACTTGAAGTGCACACATACATATGTATATACGTAACCTGCTCTTTACAGAAGCCAAATATATAAGTAATTGTAGATGCTCGAACATTGGAGTTTTAAAATAATTATGAGCATTATAAATTTTTCGTAGATATTGTCACTGCTCTCTGCGAATTATCTATGTATACTGAACCTTCGTCAATTTTTGATGAGTTCAAGTTGAGTTTTGACGTTCAAACGTGTGAGTATATTGTTCGTTTTGTCGTTGACCGATGATTGACACTTGAACGCATGAATGGAGTACAGTGACCTTGTCCAGTTTTGTTTACATTTACTCTTTTTGTTTCACTTCTTACAAAAACAATAAACAAACTATTGCAATGCGCTCGAAATTCCCACCTTTAGTCCAGGCCAATACAAAACCTACGAGTATGCGTAAGTACCATTTACCATACATATACAAGTATACATATACCTTTAAGTATTTAATTTCTTCATTTAAATCGTATACCTTTTTCCCACCAAATATTGAAGTGATTAGATTACATTTAGACTGTCCTCACTGCCGTTGGAGATTTATAAAACAGCTCTTTTTAACTAGGCGACAGAAACTGTGGCGAGGCTAACAAGCATCATTTTTGTATTGCGAAATCTTGCTTAATATAAAACATGGTATTACTTAGATATGCAACATATAGCACACACATTAAGGGGAAGGTAGGGATTTTAGGTTATTTTGTGTCTTTGAATGCATAATATCTCAAGAATGTTGCGCCTAAATTGACGAGGTTATGAGTACTTTTATATAGCTTATGAGTTTTCCCCACAACTCACGATTTCAAAATCGGTGCCCTTCATAACATGAAAACTACTTTATGGTATGGTATTTTACAAACATAGTTATGATCTGCCAAAATAATTTTTTTCTCAATTAGTAAAAAATTTATTTTTTCTTTAATAATAAATATCCTATGTCCTTTCTAATACTATAAGACATATATGTACAAATTTTCGTGATAATCGATTGCGTGGTTTCTGCGTGAACGCGTTACAAACATACTTGCATTCCCATTTATATATCCATTGAAAAATGTGTACAAAGTGTAAAAATATGGTGAAATAGCTATTTTTAAATACAAATATCTCGAAAACTATAAGTCTGAGGTGCGTATGTGCATTCACATTTTTTAATCCTAAGGCCATCCTCTATCCCATATCATCCATACCATCAGATCGTGGCGCCAAAGAAATCGTAATTTTGTCAAAATCTTAAAGATATAGGGTTTATTTATTTAAATAATTTATTAACTATTAAATATATTTATTTTGACTTTAAGGTGATTTACATCCTTTTTAACAAGCCACACAGTTAAATATGCCATATATGTATATATATGTATGTGTTCATTTCATTTCCTGTATTTTGAGGTTTCTCTGCTGTTTTGAGATGTGTGGTATATACAACTAGATATTCTAAATATCGATTTTTTAAATACTAATCGTTTATTAATACCCATCCTTAACGTAGTTCTATTATTATATTTATTTAACATTTATTCAGTTATGTGGAGAGTGGAAAATATATATAATTATATGTTATAAACAAAAGTTTGGTCTATCGTCGAGCATATAATCAAATACTCAAATTAATTTGTTTAATATAGAATATCAAATCCATCACAGAGTGGAAATTTTGGATAAATAAAAGAAATATGTAAGATACTTAAAAATACATTCCCACTTGCAAAATTAACTTTAGTTCTGCGGGTTAGAATCAGCATTTTTTCTTTAATTATAGAAGTTGAAAATTTTTAAGCCATAATCATGTTAAAGCGTCAGCGTTGTGAGGATTTCGACACATTTGTGCCACAAATTAAAAAGCTTATTAGTGACAAAATTGTGGACCAGCGCGATCAAAATAAAATGAGCAAAATTCATCGTTAGTAATTTAAACGATTGATGTTATAAACTGAAAGTTTAATATATTTTATGTGTATGTCTTTAGAAAAAACCATCAACTTACTATTCAAAGCAGCACGTGTACAAAAACCATTGGAGCAAACTCAATCAGGGGCGCCTGCGGAGGTAGAATTACCACTATGGCAGCAAGTTATTTTACGTGGTAATGGTGAAATATCATCAAAAAACGTTACAGATCTTATAGTTGATCTCTCTTTGGAGAGTCGCAAGTCAAAATGCTGTCACCGTGAAGCCTACATACGTAGCGATTGTTGTAATTGTTCGCAAGCGCTGTGCGAATATTGTGGACACTCATGTGCAGAATGTGGTATATTTCTATGCGACAGTTGCGTTTCCCTATTGTAAGTTTATTGTAATTTTACGAACATAACCAAAAGATAATAATAATTGACTTTATTTGATTTACAGTGGTTGCGGTAATGTTGAACGGCCAATATGTGAAAAGTGTTCTTTATTTCAAAATTTATAATTTTTAACAAGCTGAAAGCTTTATTTAACATCTATGAAACAAAAATTAAATATTCTTTCGACTTACTTTAGTAAAATCCCATGTGCTTTCTTTTATTATAATCAATATTTAGTCATAGAAATCAAACGTACTTTTATATTATTTATTTTACGACCGGCTAAGAAATATTAAATGTTTTCCGTGTAGTAACGTGATGTTAAGTTTTATTAAAGAAGCACATAATACTCTTTTTTATTATATTTGTATCCTCAGGACTTTAAGGTTGTTCTCAGTTTGCTAGTGATATTAACTTAGGGATGATTCGCAATAATAAAACGAGATGAGTAAAAACACAAAAATGAGTACTGCGTAACATACGGTTTTGTAAGCTATGTATTTGTTTACTATAAATTCACTTAATAAAACGCTTAATTTATAAAAAGTTTTTGTATATGACATATTTATTTCATACGGTTTAAAACTAATTTACACTTTACCCTTAAATTTGTGGTACTTTTTATGATCTTTAACATATAACTCGTATACCTGCCTGGCCGCTTCATTAGAACAACGTAATATAAAACGTCCAACCCGGTGATCGCAAATTCCGATTAAATCGTAGCATATGCTATCAATGTGCGTTTTAATCTAAAAAACAAGAAGCATAATATTATTAGTTAAAGCTATTAAAAAAATCTAACTAACCTTCGGATATAAAGTTGTTGCGCGTTTATTTGCAACAATCAAACTTATAACAAAAGTAAGCACAAATGGTGCAACACGCTTAACATGTACGCTGTGCGAAGCTATCAAATGCATTAGAGCTTCTAATTTCATTGCCAGCTCCGCTAAATCATCCAACTCATTGGCCGATAGCGCCGCATCTTTTTGTCTGTCACTCTTGTACCAAACAATCGATTGTATGAGGTCCTTGAATATGTGCATAAATTGTGGTACGCGATCCATCAGTAGTACATGCCTTTGTCTAATCAGACTGCCGAATAAGCCACTCATTGCACAATGTAGTTGTTTAAATGTATCCAAATTATTTTCAGAGAGTGGATATTGTTTTATATTGATATCCATAAGAAGTGAAAGTATGTCGTCCAAAGTGTCCGTTGAAATAGGAATCTGCAAGAAATCACAATATACATTTTTAACCATTATTATTCATAAAAAGCTCTAAATTTAAAAAAGTAATAATAAGGAGGATATATATATATGATATAATATATGATATAATATATATATATGATATAAATGATCAGTCTGACGAGCTGAGTCGATTTAGTCATGTCCCTCTGGCTGTTCGTCCGTCTCTCTGTATATACACGAACTAGTCCCTCAGTTTTTGAGATGGCAATCTGAAATTTGGCACTCGTCCTTTTCTGTCCAAGAAATTGCACATTTTTCGGAACCGCCAATTTCGAACCACTATAGCAAATAGCTGCCACACAAACGGAACGATCGAAATTAAATTCTTGTATGAAAAAGTTTTTTAGTTGATAAGTTATTTTCACGAAATTTTGCATATATTATTGTCCATGGCTACTATACTACTATAGCATATAGCTGCAATACAAGCTGGCCGATAAAAACCAACTTCTTGTATGGAATCTTTTGTAGTTGTAAAGGGTATTATAGCTTTCGTGAAACCGAAGTTAACGTTTATAACGTTTTTTCTTGTTTCTTTCAAATGTGCTACAGTTAACTCAATAGTTTAATTACCATTTTATTTTCGACTAACGATTGCTGCGCCGCCAATAGTGCCAATATTTGTTCCTTCTCCAAAAATTGCTGATGCTCATCTTTTCCAAGACGTAATATAATGTTGCATGTGATGGATTTAAATTTATCATTAAAAATCTGTTTTGGTGAGAGAGGAAATTACTTGTTAATAGAGAAAATGCAGCTTATTGATGTGTTAAACTTACAGCGCCTTTAATCGTACTGAAAGAACATTTTGCTATTAATTCAAGGCATCTTAAAACATTTCTAAAATCTTTTATATCATCCAAATTATTGGTCAAACTTTGTAGTGTCAGTAGTAAATCTTCATTGGTTTTATTACCAATAATCATTTTAACTGCAGTCTCAGTCGTTTTGCCAGTATTTGTCTCATTTACGCTTGAGTTTTTCAAATCTGCATTGAGTTGTTGCCAATAGTGACTAAGCACAAACTCTATTTCATCTTGATCCAAATGCAAAAGCTGCCTATGATTTAACGCCACTTGCAACAAACGTAAGGCATACGGATTGCGGTAGTCCATCTGCAAATTAAATTTTAAAAAGTCTCGAAATTATAAATATTAAATAGATTATTATTTTTATTATAAGTACCGAGTGCCCAATGTATATTTTACAAATACGACGAAAGTTTTCATCCACTAATACGACCGATTTATCATTCCCATTACTGATGCCAGCTGCCGCGTTCGTTAGTACAGAATTCGCAAACGGCGCGAAACCGGCTAAAGTTTTCTCAACAAATTTCTTATCCTTCTTCACAGAGTTATCTAATGTTGCATTCGTTCCTTTTTCGGATTGTTTATTAAAGTATGCGTTTATATATTTGGAGTAAATTGTTAAAATACGGTCAAATTGTTTTCGTAAGCGTTTAGCGCTAGGACCACTAAGTGCAGCGAGGGTTTCTATGGCGATCAGCAGAAGACGTCTCTGATCTTCACTAAGTTTACAATCGGAACTTTGTGCGGATTCTAAGTTTTCAGCCAATGAGGTGAGAAACTGCTCGCTGCCTTTTTCTTCGGATTTTATGGAGGAAAAGATGAACTCATAGAACTGCCATAATGTTGCAACAGGTATAATTTGTAAAATGGTCGATAATGAAAAATATTTGAAGACCGGAACATGTGGACCAAAGTGTAGAAAATCTGCAATAAAATGAGATTGTATTATTTAAAATTTATTAAAAAATTCAAGTTAGTTTTTGCATTGCCTTTTTTTTTAATTACTGGTATATAATTTTCGAAATTTGCAAATAAACACTTTTGAGGCTTATGGTTTGACTTTACCTAAAATTATTTCAAAGACCTCCGAAGCATATTTATTGGCTTCTATGGTATTAGTTGCATTCAAATCGCTATAGAACGCTAAAAATAATGCAAACATCAAGCATTTACTTTGTCTTCGCATATGTCCTAGTGGTAATTGGCGACAAAGATGTAAAACCTTTTCTATTTCTTCAGGCGCGGAAAGTTCTTTCACTTTGTACTCAGTTTTAGCGAGTGTCTCAATAATTTTTATGAACTTAAGCAATTTTTTATCTGCTGCATTCTGATCAGCTCGTATATAATCGTTTAATGAGTCGAAATTACAATTTAATGAAGCCAGTATGGAACCCTTCGCAACAGTTGTGAAATGTTGCGAAAAACTTGCGCACAAGGCGATTGCCAGTATTTCTAAAGAGTCCAAATCGTCTGCAATTACGTTTACTTTAGCCTTTGTATCCAGCAGGCGTGGTAGTATGCTAGCCTTCTCATGCTGATTCATGCGACTGAGAGTCCACTTCATACTTGGCATTTTTTGCAGTAGCGTCACGACGTCATATTGCAATTTGTCTTCATTCGTGAGAGACAATATGGATTGTAAGTCAACTGCACTACTTTCTGCTGTTGATTTTAAAAGTGAAAGTGCTTGTGAACGTTGCAAGCTCAGGCGATTATAAAGAAATTTGCTTTGCGATTTGCCAAAATTCATTACGCGTTCTCCGAGTAATGACCACACTTCGGTATTCAGAAATGCATGTAGTTGCTCTGCTGCTGGTGGGTTTTCTTTATGCCCATCTGGACAATAGTAGTGGAGTAGAAGTTTGAAGTAACTTGTATGAAAGGCACATTCCAGAAATGCATTTAATTTACGTTCATTATGCTCTTGAGCGAGTAGCAACCGTGCAAATTCCGAAAGTACTTCTTCGGTAATGCGAAGCTGTTCATTTATTTCGTTCGAAAACTTATCATATTGTTCCGCCAGGCGACAACCAGAAAAATACTGACAAAGTAAAGCGGCATGTAGGTCCAAGAGGAATTGGTTATTCTCTTCACACCGTACATCAGTTTTATCATGTAATTTTAGTAGCAACTCTCTCAAAGAATAAAGCAATGACTTCCAGATTACTAGAGAAGGTTTAGACACGAGTCCGGTTATTAATTTTGAAAATGCAACACCAACACTTTTTGTTGGCCAAGCTGCTCGGAGATATGGAAAAGAATGTGCGACTTCGTTATTGCGTTCACCGTTAATGTCTGTTGACACATTATGAAACTGTTCGAAGATAATATGCAAATAGTTTATGTCGGTGTTTAATTCCGCATTGAGGGGTTTTGATTTCTTAACAGTGTTTTCATCCGCTTCCCTCGATTTTCGTTTCAGATTTTTTTCCGTCTTTTTATTTGTTACAATTTCAAATTTGTTTAACCATTCTTTAAGGCTTTTGAGCATGTTAAAAACCAGTTTCTCTGCTCGACTTAAACGTCTAAACATATCCATTAGGGATACAAGATATTCGCCAAATAAACCAAGCTCTTCTTGGTTCTTCTTTTCTGCGACTATCATCCAAGTGGTTATCTGAATAAAAAAAAAGTGAATTAAAATCTTAATTTTTCACTAAAACAATTTAATACCTGGAAGATGTCTTGCTCCAAAATGAGTGGATTTAGACGCAAAGCTGCGCATAATAGCATTAAAACTTCACGCAAATAATCTTGTTTGCCCCGTTGAATACACTTAAAAAGTTCTTCACCCAAGTAAGTCAGTGCGGGTGGTTGATTTTCCAAATCCATTTTGAAATTTAGACTGATGTCATGTTTACGCAAAATTTCCAAAGTATAAGCAGCTGCGGTTAACATCATTGGCGCTTTAAGGGAATCTTTCTGTTCAACTTTATCGATTTCTTTCGCAAGCTCTTTGAATACGCGCTGCAACAAATGTTGTATAAAACTTTCCACTCCACGTCTGTTGATAAGGCTACATTCCAGTATTAAAAGTCTGACAAATAGAGGCAATTGCATTATACGTTGTACTAGAGGTTCGTCTTGTAGTTCATCCGTCAGAAGACGTTCTAATTGTAATAATTCATCGAAGAAGCAAAGCGAATGCGTTCGGAGCGTTAAAACCACACGAACAAGTGGCTGCAATATATACAATCGATAATATTTGTCATAGCGTGCAGTATCGCCGGTTCTTTTAATGTGATCTCGTAAATGACCTACGATGCTGGCAAAAAATTTGGTTTCGTTTCCGGTATTCATTATTTTAGTTAAGGTGGAATTAATTGGTTGCTTTGATGATTTAAATTGCTTTAAATATAATTCATAGCAATTAAGTAATGATGAATAGACTTGCGCATGTATCTCATAATCTGTTCGATATAAATCTTGCAAAACTTCAAAGTCACACAAATGGCACAAAAGTTTTGACCAATCACAATTTGTTTCTACTTTATGGCCTTCAGACCATTTGCTGGCTAATTTCATAATCATTTCAACAAATTTCTTTTTTGTATCTTGGGCAATAAGGCCCGGTTGAGCGCGCATTTGTAACAATTCAGTAAAGTCCTCAAAAGGCATTTGTTCTATCGGCATCTTCACTGCTTCCGTAGATAACCAATTGAAGATAATGTCATATTTACTTGAAAGCGTAAACTCAGCCGAATTCCAAGCTTTTAATGCAAATTTAAAATTCTCAAGAAAGGACAATTCATTGCGGCGCAGCCAATTCAAAAATTCTGTAAATACACACATATGTAATATTTAATAAATTAGCATAATTAAATTTTGTTAAATACCGTCTTCCGTTGACATTTTTACTCTTTCTTATTGTATATTGTCTGAAATTAGAGCGATCTTCCACATTTGCACAACGTAAACAAATACTACACGTGCTTGAATGAAAACATATGGCAGAGTTACCTACATCAATTATAAAGTAAGCTCTTATTATAATGACCTGTTTCATTTTGAAATACGATGATAGACATATTTAAAGTTTTATCTCCAAAAATACTGTTTATAATTAGATTGATTCAGTTATGACGATTTTATATAACTCTGTCTTATATTTAAAATTAAAAATATAAATATATACAGGTAATTTGTTTAGGATAAAAATCATATGTATTGCATAAAAATCTCTTATCGATATACTATCTTCCGTCTCTAACGTTATTTTAATGGTTTGACATCAATTCTTTGCCATTTATTAATTGTCTGAGTTTTGTCGAGACAAATATTCGAAAATGACTTTAAAATTAAACCGCGATGATACTATTAATTTGATACGTATTTATGAACAGTATGAATGCCTTTGGAATTGTAGAAAGGAATCTTACAAAAATTCGGTTTTAAAAGAGAGAGCATGGAGCGAGATTGCAAACTACTACGAAACAGATGTGTACGAGATGAAAAAGAAGATTAAGTATCTCCGCACAGCATATGTAGCCGAACTCAGAAAACTGGAGGAATCGAAAAGAAATTCCATTAGTTCAACCGAAATATATCAACCTAAATTATATTATTATAATGATTTCAACTATTTGAATAGTACAATACTGCTGAGAAAAACAAAGTTACTTGACGATGACGAGGATAACGGTGATGAAATATGTATAAAAAGAGAAGATTCATACGATGAGGTAAATTTTTTTAACAAGTGGTATTCAACTTCACTTGTAATTTTTAAATGTTTTGCAGTTAAGTAACGATAACTGCGAAGGTTTACAAGAAAATGGAGCTGTTTGGGAAAAATGTGCACCCGAACTTTATCTGGACGAGGACTTACAACAACAAGAATTCAAAAAAATAAGATTGACATCTCATCCAAGTACAAATTTTTCAACTTCTGCAAACGTTTCCACACTCAGTACGAAAGATAACCAACATAAACGTTACTCTAACATGCCACTGGGAACAGATGATATGTATTTAGCTTTTGGAACTAGCATAGGATTACAACTTAGACATCTGAAACCTGTTAATGCAGCTAAAGCTATGGCAAAAATACAGGGAATTCTCACTGAACTTGCTGTTTCAGAAGTATAATTATCTTTTAAAAATTTAGGGATTTTATAGTACGTATTTTAGAAATTATACAAAAAAGTTTTGCCCAAACAGGATGTAGCATAGATAAAATAAAATACTCGATAATTATAAAGGAAGTAGTTTCCTAATTTTTATCAACAAGATTGATAGATCGCAGTATCTATGTATCACAGACAGTTATTTCCCCCTTAAGTTTCAGTTTTGCTTTAAAAAACTCCATTTTCCCATGTATAAAATATTTTTTTTTTTATATTTTGCATTGAACATATAATTTTTTAAGGAATGTTTTAACGAAAAAACAAAAATCATTAAGACCTTTTTTGGAGAGCGTAATTTCTCTATTAGAATATCACTTTTTTCAAACTTGTAAGTTTACACGGATAAGTTGAAAATAAAGAGTTTGTTTACGTTGGATCCTTTTTCAGAGAAAAAACTGAAAATTCAGGAGCACAAAACATCAACTTTCGGGAATTAACGGACACTAAACCTAAACGTAAACCTTATAGATCAATTGATTTATTTACTGCATTTTTTATCAACCTTATATTCACATAAAATAAGGTATATTACATTATTTAAATAACAACAGCAACTACCTTGCCAATGAGTAGGTAATTTCAGCTTGCATTAATTTGAGTTGCTTTCAAATTTGGATCATTTGAACGCGCCATTTTGGATTGGATCCATTCGTTTGCATGCATACGTTTTATATGAACGTACATATTAGATTTTGAGCGGCATTCCTTTGAGCAGTGGGGACAAGAGTACAATTGCGCTCCCGTATGTGTAGCCATATGCTCCTAGGTAGTTGGAAAAAATATTATCAAAACAAAATGAAAAAAAGGTTAACTCATATCCAAAATCATACTTCTAGGTTTCTACTCTCTTTAAACGTTTTGTCGCAAAAGCTGCATTGTAAATCGTATTTCTTCTTGTGCATATAATTAATATGACCTCTTAGGGCGGTGCGTGATCGACATTTACGTCCACAATATTTACAGTCCGTATCGGTATTATTGTGTTTAAACTGGTGCAACCGATGGACGTGTTTATTTTTTGACCACTCTCCGCAAATATCACATTGTACAGGCGGTTCTATAATACCCTGATGCTCAAGCACATGACGTTCAAAAGATGGCTTAAATTTGAATGCTTTACCACATACATCACATATGTGACGATGAATATCCTCGTGTATGGCCTCTATGTGTTTGCGCAACCGCTGAGGAGTTGCAAAGCTATTAAATTGAATTCAGTATTACTTCAAAAATGTATTTTGTTGTCGTGAAACTTAATCTTATAATTTACCTTTTGGCACATATGTCGCAGTTATATTCTCTATTATCGCCATGTTTTCTTACATGATTGTCGAGACATTTCTGTCCACGAAATACTTTAGAACAGATATGACAGCACACAGTTTCGTGGTTAACTTCCTTTTTAGAATGAATTATTTTAATGTGGCTTGCCAAACATTTACTTGACTTCAACTGTTTTCCGCAATCATCACATCTAGAAAAATGCATAAAGAAGATAAATACTTTTCTTTATTACTTAAATTGTTCAGCATTACTTAAATTTACTAGGGTTTGTATGCCACTGAACGTGCTCTGCTAGTAAACTTGGTTTCTGGAATGTTTTACCACAACATTTTACAAATGCTGTGCTTTTATGGATTTGTGTGAAATGTAAACGGAGATCGTTATAGGTCTCAACACATAAACCGCATATATCACAATTTAATAACATAAAATTTGCAATAATTTCATCATTTAGTTTTGAAGCCTCCTTCCTCAATACGTTTTTTACTGTAGAAGAATCAACGTTTTTACATTTCCGTTTGATTTTCTTAACACGAGCATAACTTTTTACATTATGTTTAGAGGACTTTGAAATAGTTTCAATATTTTCCTTCAAATTTATCAATGGAATATCATCTAAATTAAAACAATATTAAATTATTATTATCAACTGAATTAATTACAAACATATATTACCTTCCACTGATTCGTCGTCATTTCTCCAATCACCTTCTGCTACTATACTGCCACATTTCATATCTAAATCGGGTTTGATGTCTGGCGTAACATTTATATTTTCGGAGGTCGGTGCTAAGTCGAAGATGTTGCTATATGCCTCATGTGAAACAGAGATATCCTTCAAATCTAAGAGTATTTCTTCTTGATTATCAATGTTCTCTCCCGTAACATCGATTAACACCGGTGTAACATCCTCTACTTTGTTACACTTTACGGCAAGAAACTCACTTCCCAACGAGCTCTGTTTTAAATCCACATATATCCAAAACTTATGAAACTCTTCCAAATGATCACTGCAATCTTCACACAATGAAGTCGATATACTATCATCTTGGGCTACCTGTAAACAATCAATCAGTTTAAGTGAACTATTGAGGTGGCAAACAATCGACAATTTACCTCCAAATGGAAGTACTTTGTTATCAGTTTAATTAGTTTAGATTCCGTATGAGGAGATTCAAATAAACATATAGCATTTTCCTGAGTTAAAGTCCGCAAGCACAATCGACAAATCATTCCCATAAAAAGAGATAAAACTTTTTGTTATAAATAATTGTTAATATTACGTTTGTATGTAATTAATCTTGTTTTTATGCTTCTTCTTACTCAAGGCACACTAACATTCAGTCACAATACAATATTATACCGTTCGTAACATTAGGTTTGTTTTATAACTGTTAGTAGCATGAATGCAAGTAACTCTCACAAAGAGCGAAATAACCAAAAAGTAAAGAAACGGAAAACTAGCAGAAATTAGTAACTTGAAAATTAATTAATACAGTTTTTGTTTTCACTATTCAAAACTAACTAAAAAATTTGTTCCTTAACTGCTAACTATCCGTAGGTAGCCAAGTTTCTGCTGGAAAAGCGTTTCTTAACCCAAAAATAATGCAAAACGTTGAGAGAGCTGCTAGTTTCTGCTAGTGATATCTTTGCTAGCAGAAAATAGTTACTGCCATATGAAGAAGCAGCTGCTAAACACATGTGTATACTGCACAACACCGTGCAATATCGTTCAATCGATGACGACATCGACCGCAGGGACACTAACCTTGAATGTCAGGGTATAGCTGTCCGGTCAAGCGATGTAGAGCTTGAGATATTCAATATATACAACCCTCCAGTTACATGTTGCCCAACAGGATATAACCCGAACAGAGGTGCGCTGCTTCGTGGTGAAAACCGTTTGGTGCTAGGCGACTTTAACGCGCACCACGATCTTTGGCACTCCTGCCTGTCAAATGATCGTAGGGGGATGGAGCTGGCGGAACAGATTGACGATTCGAAAATCTGCACAATGAATGACGAAGCCCCCACCAGAATCATGATCACCTGTAATAGTTTGCCCGATATTACCATCGCTAGCGGTGATCTGAGAAATAGCATAACCGTGCGACCTATGCTAACTCTCGCATCAGACCATCTGCCCATAATTATCTCGATCGAGAAACCTCTCGACTTTATTTCTGTGGACAACCACAAATTCATTAACTTTAACAAAGCTAACTGGGTCGGCTTCACAGAATTTACTAAGAGCACCTCCAACGCACTACCCATTCCTACGGACGTCATCGTTGGCGAGCGTCAATTCCGCATGGTGATCGCTGCTGCTACTGCTCGCTTCATACCGGCTGGAAGAATCGCGGAACTCCGTCCTAATTTCCCAGCCGAAGCAGCTGTACTAGCTAACGAGCGCGACACCATACGCCTTGCCGATCCCTGCGACCACCGAATAAGGGATCTCAATTTGGAGATTCGGCAAATGGTAAATCAACATAAGCGGACAAAATGAATAGAGCACCTGAAGTCCTGCAATCTTTCCACCGGTGTAAGTTAGCTTTGGACTACTGTCAAGGTCAGTTCGATGGCCACGCCTCCTCATTGGCCCTGACGGAATAAGCATGCTGATGCTAAAGCATATAGGCTCAACGGGAATAAGCTAAGGTCCTCAACTTGTCGATGTCCACTCTTCAAATACCCGATGTGTGGAAAGTCGGAAGAGTGGTCCCACTACTGAAACCTGGGAAACCCCCCAACAAAGGGAGTTCTGATCGCCCGATAACTCTCCTTTCCCCAGTAATGAAGACACTTGAGGTACACTTGCTACTCCCGACGTTCACTCACCACCTGATTCTAGCGGACCATCAGCATGGCTTCCGAAAAGTGCACAGCACCACCACAGCACTTGGCCACCCTGCGAGAGGACGATCCTCGTAGCGTTGAATCTGTCAAAAGCTTTTGACACAGTCAATCACATAACGCTACTTGAGGACCTAGAACAATCAACGCTCCCTTCAGGGCTGAAGCTACCCGAGCGGTCGGCATTCATCCAAAACTCCAAACTTAGAAGAATTAAACAGGGGGTTTCACAGGGCGGTGTCCTCTCCCCACTACGGTTTAATTTCTACATTTTGAAACTCCCTCAACCACCAGGAATTTCCGTGACCTCGTACGCTGATTGCTGCACAATATTGACGCGAACAATGGAATCGATGGCATGTGCTCAAAAGTAAACAGCTACCTCTCCGACTTTTCTCGCTTCTTCTCTGCAAGGAGTCTGACACTCTCCCCCACTAAATCCACAGCGACCATATTCACAAATCCTCCTTAACATTTCAGTCGATGGCACAAAAATTCCGACGGTCAATAACCCTAAAATTTTAGGCGTAACATTGGACAGTCTGTGCTCCTTCACTCCTCACACGACCGCGATAACTGCCAAAGTACAGAGCCGCAACAAAATCCTCAAATCGCTTGACAGCAGCTCTTGGGGAAAAGACAAAGAAACGTTGTTGGCAACATACAAGGCAATCGGCCGGCCGGTCCTTAACTATGCATCACTAATATGTTCGCCTGGATGTAGTGCAACGCAGACGAGGAAGCTTCAGACTTGTCAGAACACTGCACTCCGGACTATCACGGGATGCCTCTTGATGTCTCCTATAGAACACCTGCACAGTGAGGCCCTTATGCTTTCGGTTAAGGAACATAACGAGTTTTCGTAGAAATCACCCCTGCAGTCGTCTTCTTGAAGCGGAACCGCCTCCTAGGAACATCAAGAGGTCATTCCTTGATTACGTCGACGACAGCAGACAGTCGACCGGACTTCGGACGCAACGAACTACAGACAAGCACTGACCACCATTCACAGTGGAGCCATTAACACCTTCATCGACTCCCAATCAGTGAATGGCGTACTAGGAGTCAAACCACCACCCATAGCAGACGTAGAGCTCGAGTTGCCTCGCGAAACCAGAGTGACCCTCGCGCAACTTCGTTCTGGATATTGTAACAGGTTAAACTCCTACTTATCTAGAATAGACCCCGACATTCTAAACATATGTCCTGCGTACAATGAGGCTCCGCATGATACTAACCACCTCTTTGCATGCCCAACAAACCCAACTCATCTAACACCCTTTTCCCTATGGTCCGAACCCGTCGAAACAGCCTGTTTCTTGGGCCTCCCGTTAGATGACCTCGACGACAACTAAACTATCACTTATCATCCAAGCGGGGACTAGATAACCGTTACAACAACAACAACAACAACATCAGAACCACTACTTATTTGAACTTATCATTGCTGTAATTGTATATGTTCATACATATGTACTATTTTGGTCGAATTTTTGTCACAAGTAGTTGCGAAAAACGGAGTAACGAGCCTTGGGGAGATATGTATGTACAGTTAGTTTGAATCCAGACTATTTAGAGAATAATTTTCTTTGTTGTTGTAGTAGTAGCTACAGACTCTGCTTAGTGGTGAAGAATGCTGGGTAGACTTAATAAGATTAGGCGTTTCAGAAATAATAGTAGAAATAAACCGACAAAACAAGAATTTTTTTTATAAAAATGTATTTTATATATGTATATAACTTCAGCTTATGTTTATTATAGTTATGCCACTATTTTAAAAATTTTCATATAAATACTTAATTCATTAAATATATTCATTCCGGTTTTTTTCACATAGTCCTTTACTTTCCATATGTGTTGCCTAATTTGTTATAGTTGTGTTATATGTATTTTTATATTATTTCGTTGTTGTTTTTCAGTGAAATGTTAAAAATATATTTTTAAAATGGATTAAGTTTTTCATACTTCTTCTTTCAATAATCCTTCGGCCTTAAGATTTTGGATAAGTTTAGGTAAAGTTATTGCATGAAAATTGTCATCCTTGTAGACCGTCACACTTTCACAAAGAATTGTACTGCCATTAGGTATAAGTTCTTCTAGTTTCTGAACAAAATCCGCATCACACTGTTCCGGCAAACCTACACAATTGCGAGATGTTATTAGTTATTTTGAAATATAAAACTTGTGGTGATTTGAAATCTTTACCTTTAATTTCACAATCGCAAGTGTAAATTGGAAAAGTAAACTGAGCTGGATAACGCCTAATATTCTTGACATTAACCATTCCAATGTTTCCGTAATCGAAGAATATGATGCTCGGGAAACCATCACCCACGATTTCCAGACAACGACCACGATACCATTTACCATCAACTTTATATTTAGCAATGCAAAGTTCATCAATACTAAATATTGGAAATGTTTTTGTAGAATGTCAATCTATTTTAAAGCATAAAATATTGAACAAATATTACATACCGTGGTGTATAGCACTGATCCTTTAGCGACTCGCCGTAAAGCTGGATATCACTTTGAAATTTTTCAATTTCGATGGCCCATTTCTTCGTACTACATGATATACAACCGGTACAAAGCAGAGAATTATCCATAACGACCAATTCTATGTTGTTCCCTTCTGGCAATTGCTTTTGAGATAAATGCTGTCATTTTTTAACAGGAAGAATACGCATATATTTATGTATGAACTTAGTTTGAGAAAAGAAAAATATGCTTACATTAATGTAATATGCTTCATCTGGATTAGTTGGTTCTGTGGGTTTGCAAAGTTTGGCTACCATTTTATTGAAATTTTGATTTGTAGTTCCATCAAATAATTCAATTTCATAAACACCCTTGTCAGATAACAAATCACTCTTTTCATCATACTTAAGTACTAAATCAATACCATCCAAATATGAGTACATAAATTTTCGAATTTCTTCGGTCATATACATTTCCGGTACATCCTTCAATATTACCGGCTCTACAAAGCGTTGCACATGCATGAACTGTTCGGGTGCTTCATAAAGATCCTCCAACTTTCGTGCATCTAAATTACCATAATCCATATAAACTAATTTTATGTGTTGCTCATTGTCACTATTAAGTATCATAGCACGATTATACTGTCCCGCGAAATTCGTAATGACAATCTGGCCACAAATTGGTGTTTTCGACAATTTTTTTAGCTGCTTAGCCGCACTTTGAACATCATTAATAAGTTTAAAGAAACTTAAATTATCTTCGTCAGCCTTCGATCTTATGAATACTATATTCGTTTTGCTAACGGCAGTAAGAGCAACTAAGTTACCACTTCGAGGAATTCTTCTAGCCGTGTTTGAAGGAATTTCCTGTTGCTTATTTTCTGATTCAATGTTTACTTTTTCTTCTTTAAAACATCTAGATTCCGTTTTTTCATTTAAGCCTTTAAAACTGTTTTTTGTATATAAAATATTAAGATTAAATCAAAATTAATGTCTATATAATACAATACGTACTTCTCTTTACCGCAAATTTGGCGATGTTTTGGCCAGGCCTTACGTTGGCATTCTAAACCGCAAAAATATGTTTGACAGCGTGCACAAACTATATCACATGTTCGGTTACAATTTGCACATTGCCCAATATCTATAGGTCTCCCGATTGCTCTATTATTATGATTATTTTCGTATAATTGTCGTGACGAGTCATAGCCGCCCAAAGATTGGCGTGACTTTTCTTCAATATATGTTTTAGACTTCTCAGTCATCCTGTTAAATAAGAATATGATTTATTTAAAGTTCGCTTGGAAACACAAAATATTACGAACTCAATGAATGCTCTGCCTGTACGATATTTGTACTTGGAATTCTCAATATTGTTCAATTCGCTGTAATCTTTTAGGCATGCTCGTTCAAGCTCGTGTGCATCTTCCGTAATAAGAAAATGACGTTGTGGATCATTACGTAGCAGCAGCGAATCTTTTGTTTCATAAGCCTTTTGATTCACAATTGGAGTGTGTTCAAAGTGTGGTCGAGGTAAATTTTTTTCAGACGAGCGGTAGTTTCTATATATAAACATTTTGTTTAAAGTTGATACCTAAAAATAAATTAAATAAATACCTGCGTTCAAAATCAATGACGTTCTTGTCTGTTCCTATTGGCGGCAGAGTTTCTTCCATATCTGAAAGTAAAGGCTCAGTTTGCTGCTTATTTTTTTGCTTGCCTACCAGTACATGAAAACCGTATTGATTCTCCACTAAAGCACGATAAACGGACTCCATTTCGCTGGCGAATAATGTAAACTGTATTTATATATAAATATATTACATAAAATTAAACTTTACTTACGCCACAGTTGGAAAATCAATGAAGATGTAATCATTCTTTTTACTATCGCGAACATCGTTGACTCGGCCATGTCGTGTACAAATATTATAAATGGCCTTCTTAGTAATTCCAGTAGGCAAATACTTTAATACCAAATAAGGTATAAAGTTCGAAGTTGAACTATTAGTGACATTCTTGGAAATCAGAGACATTTGCTTTTTTCCATCTTCAGCTTGTTGGGCGGGTTGTAAAGCAGCATCTAAATAAGCTCCAGGACCACTATTATACTTATTAAATTTAGAATTAGTATAATCATCGCGCATTGGGTTCCATGCATCAAGTTCCTTCGGGATATCGTTATTCAAGTAATCTTTCGACATATTGCTGAAAAAGAGAACTAGTAATTGCATATTCAAATAATGTGTACTTCATATAATATATTAAACTATATTTAAGTATACTTCATATCCACAGTTAACAATGGAATGTAATATCCTAAAATTTAGTAAGAAACATAAAAGTGCAAATACAATTACTTTAATTAATCTCAAAACAGAAAACTGAAAGAGGGCAGTATTTATCGATTATTTAAAGTTTTAGTTAAAATATTGTAACGGATTTCTCGATAAATCGTCTACCTTGTAACTCACTCTTGAGTTTGATCACTGGATTGTTAAATTTAATTGAAGATATACACTTATCATTATTTTTAATTCCAACAAGTTAACACTTATTGCTCGTTTTTTGAGCTTATAATTAGAATTACAATGAGGTTTGCACTAGGACCATGGTCACAATATCAAGATCGATCACAACATAAAAAACTTCCATATATGTATGATTAAATTTATTTTATTATTTGATGGCGTAGCAGTTAGTTATACAAGTCAAATATATATTTTTGGATAATGAATTTTGTAGCCGACAGCCGACACCTTATAGTTTAGAATTAAATTGTTCAATTATTCCAAAATACTTTTAATGTAGGATTACACAATGCACAGGATTCAACTATTGTGAGCTGTGTGTTATAAGTCAATTTGACCACAGCCAACTTTGCACCAGTCAGTTTTAATTTTTTTGATTGCGCCTTTCATCTTAAATCTTATACCTTAGCGCCTTTTCAAGTTTTTTAATCTAACGGCTAACGGCTTAGAAAAATAGAATTCTTTTAATTAAATTCGTATAAAGTGACGTTTTTCTGCATTTAGTTAGATATAACTGAGAAAGCTGAGGTTTCGTGGTTTTCTAATTCCAGTTATAAAATTAATAAACAAAGTAACTTTGCTTCATAATGGATTTTGAAGATGCAAAAGAAAATATTCAACCATTGGCGACTGGTCGCAATGCCAGTATTTTACATGCTTCTTTGAGTGTTGAGTCTCCACAAGAATTATTGGCTCGACGCCGAGAGTTAGAACAAGCCATTCGTGAATATAGCGGTAATGACCCTCTCGAACCCTGGTATGCATATATTAGCTGGATAGAACAAAGTTTTCCTTCAGGGGGCAAAGGATCTGGTTTAGAAGAAGTGCTAACAAAATGTTTATCTCAGTTTGAAAATGAGGAACGGTATTTCCAGGATAGACGAATGATTAAATTGTATATGAAATTTGTAAGTACTTTAGTTGTAATTTGTGACTAAATGAAAAGCATATATCTTATACAATTTCTTGCAGATTGATAGCCATCAACATCCGATGGAATGCTATCAGCAATTATTCAATGCTGGAATTGGTACAATGATTGCTGATTTTTATATTTGTTGGGCATACCATTATGATTTATGTGGCAATACACGCAAGGCAGATGAAATATTTCGTAGAGGCATTGCATGTCGTGCCCAGCCATTGGAAGAATTACAAGAAGCGCACCAACATTTTGGCTTTTCCATTGCACAACGTGTTTTGTATCAAGATGACGACGAGGTAAAGGAAAGTACAAAGCGACAGTTCGAAGAAAGACGTTTAGCTTTAACGTCTTTACGAAGTCATAGGCGCAAGGCAACTGTCGGCAGTATACGCACAGGATCTGCAGTAAAGAGTTATGCGCCGGGAACGGTACAGGTAAAAGAAAAATAGCATTAAAATTTATTATAAATAATTGTATATGTTATAACTTCTGAAATGTGCTATTTTTTTATTCCAGACTGGCGCCAGTTCTTCAAAACAAGCAAACACGCGCGTACAAGTCTTTCAAGATGAAAATGACAATCTTAATTCACAACTAACAAAAGCAACAGTAGCTGAACAAGAAAGTTCATCTGAAGTTCCTAAATCAGTTGTTCGCTCAATTATTGATGCAGCACGAAATCAAGAAAATCGTAAAGAACCAGGACCATGGAATAAAGCACATGATAAGAAACTGTCTGGCAAACTCTTTAGTAAAACGGATAGGAATACTGAATTGGGTTTCAGTATTCATGAAGATACTGAGATGAAAGAGGACTATTTTAAGAAACCTCTAGTACCACCCATTATGGAAGGAGAGAGAAATTATGACAAACCCTTTAAATATCCCAAAGATTTTAAGTGTAGAAATTTACCACAAAGTGAATGGCTTACACCAGTAACGATCGAAAATGAGCCGGAACCTCGAACTTTCCCACAATATAACAAATGTTTTATGTACCCCCGACCAAATATAGAATTTCAGCCAGAAGAGTATAGAGCGTACCGCTGGTTTAAAAAACGTGGCATTTCAAACAATTTTACAACCCAACGTGACACTTATTGGTGCAGCTACGATATTAACAGAAATGTGAGGCAGTATCCTAATTTTGCGAAAACATCAAGACCACAACGGTTGACAGAAATAGACGCGTACTTTGAACCAGAAAAGAAGCAAGGATTAATGGTGTGCTTTAGTGAGTTATATAATTCTTCTGAAAAGGTGGAATACCAAATGGAAGAGTTGATGGCAAAACGTTTGCGTCGATATGATACAATATTAATGACAGCGGATATGGACGAGACTGCATGCGGCAGTAACGAACGGGTACAGAGACGCAAAAGCTTTTTTCCTTTACGCAAATCGATTATGCCAATACCATCCGTCGTTCCAATGGAATATAAAGAGGATATTGCGGTTAAAGGCATTCTCCATAAAGGGCCTCTGAAAATAACGAGTGGTACCGAAACCTCGGCGCAGCCTAATAAAATCGAAATATTTGAAGATACAATTAGCACAGCTACAAGCAAATTTTCAGCTGATACCATTAACAAAGTTAGTTCAGTTTGCAAAGAAGAAAATCCTTCAACAGCTAATTTCAAGTTTAAAACACCCGCTTTACCAACCACAACTACTTCCACAATAGAAAATAAACTAGGTTTCGAAATTTATACTGAACCTTCTATAAGTGAGGGTCAACTATCTGTACCTACTACTGAAGGGGCTGTAGGAGGTGCCATATATGATCCGGAAGAAACTTGTTCTACACAAATATTCAACATATTTTTAAAATCACAGTCTGTAAGTACACCGAAGATGGCACAGAAAGTTGCACCAAGACAATTTGGATCTATTTTGAAGAGTGTACCAAAACCTCTCGAATTTTCTAATAGTCCAGAAAGTAATCCAACACCTGAAGCCATTGTTGATGAACAGGCAGAACCCCTAAAAGCCGCAGTTGAATACTCTCCTTTAACGGTGAAGCAATTGTCCACTATTCTAGAAACTTCCGAGCACGGTATCACACAAGGTACACACACGACTGGTGGCATAACAACCAAGTCTTCCAGCAGCACATCTGACGGCGAAGGCGACCGTGAGATGGGAACGCGGCTGTTAATACCCGTTACGGAATTGAAGCCAGTAGAAGAACTATCGCGCAAAACATCCAATATACCAACTGAGGTAATGGTATCGCTAGAAAATATTAATTTATATGGTGGGGCTATGTCAGAAGAAAAAAATCCAACAACGGTTGGCAAGCATGAAATGTCCATAATTATCCCACATACTTGCACCCGCGAACCAGCCACACCAGCTAATAAACGTTTACAGACGGGGTCTGATTCGCTAGTTGCGCCTGCAGCATTAGCGCCAGCATTAAACTTTTCAATATTTGAAGATGAACCCACTGAAGCGATTGGGGTTAAACAAGCTGGAAATTTTACACGTATTGACGAACGCGAGGATACAGCGGCTGGCTATGCCATTCGAAGCGTTCGTTTCCAAGAGGACAAGACTGAAACAATGCCGAAAATGTTATTGCATTCACGTTCCATTGTAAAATTTCAAGAAGATAAAACAGAAACTATAACCAAAATGCCAATTGCAACACCCGGGTTGGTGCAGTTTGAATCGGAAAAAACCGACACAATACCGAAAACTTTGCTTTCGGCACCAGTAAAAAATCTCAGTTCGAATTTGGAAGATTCTTTTGAGTTTTTTGGACAAACTCCACCGGGTAAGAGTATATTACATCCAAGATATGAAGTTTCGGCTTTTAAGGAGTGCATGGAGGCACGGACGCCATTGTTGTCATCGGCTAAACGACATTGTGATATCAATACTCCAGATGCATTACAGTTGAAGGCACAGCCATCAACACAAAAACAAGTATGTATAAATTTTTTTTGTTCTAATTTTACACCCTGTACACAGGCATAAAGTTTGCCACGTAGTTTGTAAAACGCAGAAGAAAACCCTATAAAATATATATACATATATAAATAATAAATGATAGACGTGATGAGCTTTATGGATTTTGCGATATCGATTTGAAATTTTGCGCAAATCCTTATCTCCCCAAGAAGTTGCTCATTTGTCGGAGTCACCGATATCGGACAATTAAAGAATATAGCTGCCATACGAACTGTCCGAGCCAAATCAAGAATTTGTTCCCAAGTTTCCACGACAGTCGGGTTTACGTAACCGTAACGAACCCGGACTTATACTCTCGACTTATACACACCACCTGAGCCTAGCTAAGTGCACAGCACCACCACAGCATTTAGCCTCATAAACATCTGAGTGGCCTCAACCAGAAAACGCCCTGCGAGATAACTGTCCTCGTCGTGATGGACATGTCAAAAAGTTTGACACAGCTAACTTATTACTCCCCCTCTAACAGGATCTGGATAATCGTTACAACCACTTTTTTATTTGACAAGGTATCTTCACGAAATTTTAGTACAGAGAATTGTTCAGGACTACGCTACAAACTCCCGAACAAATTATTTAGATCGGACAACTATAGCACATAGCTGTCGTACAAACTGATCGATCAAACTGAAGTCCCTGTGTGGAAAACTTTTTTATTTGACAAGGTATCTTCACGAAATTTAACATAGATTATTATCTAAGGCAGCACTACAATATCTGAACAAACTGTTTAATTCGGGTCAACTATAGCATATAGCTGTTATTCTAACCTATTGATCAGAATCATGATAAAGATTAAGGATATTATAGCTGTGGTGCTGCCAAAGTTAACGATTTTTCTTGTTTTTTATGAGTTTATGCGTGTAATGAAATATTCTTACTAAATTTATTAGCGATAGCTTTTGTCAAGCACTTTTTCTATTTGCACTAGTAATTAATAAAATTTTTTTTGTATTCAATCATCCATATAAAAGGCCATTAGCACAACGACGACTGTTACTGCAGCGGCTTTTAAAGGACCGGTACTATTTGAGGACGAAGTTAACAAATCAGAGTCTATAAAGCCCCAAGTACTTTTCTCATCGACCAAACCTATAACTTCACAAAAAGTTATCACACAACCAGCGGTGCAGAGGGTAATTGCGCGTGATTCCTTTTTGTCAGATTTTTCTTATATTGAAGAGACACAACCACAATCTGCGGTCCTTACCAGCAAAAGCGAAGCAAATAAGAATGATGTATCCAATACTAGAACGGGTGGTGATACAGCAGTTAATGCAAAGGCACAAACTATCGCTAAGTGTAGCGATTCAAATGAACAGCAAGCTAAATCAAGCTTGAGCAATTCCTATTTAAATGATTTCTCCGAAATTATGGACTCTCAACCTGTACAAAGTGATAACAACTGGTGTAGATCTGTTTCGAAAAATAAACCCACCGAAATGCAGAAAAAGGATCAAGAAAACTTTTGTAATTCGTTTCTAAAAGACTTCTCAGCTGTAATGGAGTCCAAACCAATAGAGAACGAAAATGAATTTCTACAAAAGCAGTCTACAACAAATGCATTTTCTACAACTGACTTGCAGCGTAAAGGCGAATCGTGCAATTTAGCGCCCACAAAAACTGATGAGAATAGAGCTAAATTCGATCTTGGAAATTCTTATTTAAAAGATTTTTCTATGGTTTCCGAATCACAACCAGTCGAAGTGCAACGGGAGCGCCTACAACCCATATCTACGGCTAACAAACATGAAACGAACGAGCAAAATATTGAAATGGATAGTAAAAAACTTGAAATCGTCAATCATAGTTTAAAAGATTTTTCTGTAATTATGGAATCGCAACCGGTTGTTGACGAAAGAAAGCTTGGACACCACAGTTCCCGTTCTACGTTGCCAACAACAAAACCACTAACAAGCAAAATCGATGTATCACAACAACATGTCGAAGAAAACATTAAGCCGACCTTAGGCTGCTCTTATCTAAATGATTTTTCAATTGTGACTCAGTCAGAACCCATTGAAAACAAAATGAAAAGTAAGATATGTTCAAATCAAACAATTGCCGATGAGGTATACCAAAATCCAAATGCAATTCCTGCAACACACATGAATGACCTTCACCTGAATGAGTTTTCAGTTGTTTCGGAGACACCCACACTTGAAAGCGCAACGAAGCGTGCACAAGAACAATTTGAGCAACTTAAAGCAGACACAAAACCGGCTGCAGCAGCACAACCGCTCATGTTTCTGAATTCGTTCATGAAAGACTTCTCCGGATTTCGCTGTCCTCCCGCCGAGTCAATAAGTAGTAAGAAATCAACTACACGCCTAACATTTTTGAACGATTCTAGAAAATTCAATGAATCCATACATTCAAACCCAATTAATAATAGTCTTAGCAAAGACTCGAATAACCCTCCACAAAGTTCGAACAAATTACATTTTCTTGAGAAATCGAGGGTCAGTTTAGCCCAAGCGCCACCAACTGAACGTTTATCAACAGAAAAGTTCTTTGAGTTGAATGCAGAGACTGCAATGTTCTCCACAAATATCAGTATGATCAAGAACTCCACACTTTTGCCACAAATTGAACTGAATGCCTTGCAGGTGCCAACACCAATAAAAGAGCAGTCGCTACACATAAAGCAGGAGAAAGATGAAACTTGCAAAATCGTTGCTGTTAGTCAACAGCAACAGGACAATTTCAAAACGCCGCCAAAAACGGTAAACGAGTTACTGTCAACGTTGCCACCAAGTTTGGCGCAAGAGCAAACAACAACAACATCGTCAGGTGCTGTACCGAAACAGCCATCAGCTATCAAGCCACAACGCGAAAGTAAAATTCTACAACCGATAAGTCATACCGAACCACAAATTAAACAACCAATTGAGTATATAAATATAACTGAAACCACTGATAGGGCTATTGTCCAGGATGGCGATGCCGAAATGAGCATATATTTTAAGCATACGCCGAAAACGCCGAAAATACAACAACACATATGGACTGAAAGTTCACCCTCGCCCAAAACACCATCACAAAATGTATATGTCCATCGCGAAGTAGATCTAAATGTCACTAACCAAATTATAGACAACGTGAACGTTGATCCCCAAGTTAATCCTTTTAATGGCTATTTGCAAAGTGCTTTCTTGGAGCAAATCGAGTTCAATAATTATATTGAAGAATTGCCAAGTTGTATGCTAGTTGGTCACGTGTCACGTCTAAATTACGGTGTTAAAATTAAGGTTAACGATGTTGAATTTGATGTTTTAAAGTTAATTGGAGAGGGCGCATATGGCGCTGTGTTTTGGTAAGTCTATTCGTTTTATTTGGTAAAATAGTTATTTTTTTTTATAACCGGAACAGAGTACGTATAATACGTTTGCCACGATGTTTGTAACACCTAGAAGGAATACATTTAAATTATCAGCATATATAAATAAAGCGTATCGAGCTGAGTCGATGACTAAACCCATCTGTCCGTCTGTCTGTCTGTCTGTATATACGTAAACTAGTTCCTCAGTTTTTGAAATATTAATTTGAAATTTGCGCACACGTTCTTTTCTCCACAAGAAGCTGCTCATTTGTCGGATTCACCGATATCGGCCCACTATAGCTGCCATACAAATTGAACGATCAGAAACAAGTCCTTGTATGGAAACTTTTTTATTTGACGATATATATTCATGAAATAGGCATGGCGATCTGAATCATCTAAAATCAAGTTCTTGTATGGAAAACTTCATAATTTGAGAAAATATCTTCACGAAATTTGGCATCGATATATAGCATATAGCTGCATTACAAACTGATCAATAACAAGAAAAAACTAAAATACCCTTCACAAATACAAAGGCTTCTTACAAGAACTTGATTCCGATCGTTCAATTTGTATGGCAGCTATATGATATAGTGATCTGATCTGAACCATTTCTGCGGTGAATACATTGTTGCCTTAAACAATAAATGTCTAATTTCATGAAGGTACCTCGTTAAATAAAAAATTTTTCCATGCAAGCACTTTACTCCGATCGTTCAGTTAATATGGCAGCTATATGCTATAGTCATCCGATCTAAACAATTTCTTCGGAGATTGGATTATTATACCATTTTGGTTTTATATTTTCTTTAATTATGTTTTTTTTTAATTTTTATTTTTATTTTTTTTAAATTTTGTTTATTTTTATATTTTTATTTTTTTTAAATTTTTTTTGATCTATTTTTTTTTTATTATTATCTCATTTTTTTGGATCTATTTTTTTATTGTTATTTTAATTTTTTTTGATCTATTTTTTTTTATTATTATTATAGTGGCACACATAAAAAGACTGGCAAGAAGTATGCGCTCAAGCAGGAACGTCCACCGAATTTTTGGGAATACTACATATGCTTGGAAGTGCATAGTCGTTTAAACTCGGAAGATTTGGTAAATGCAAAATTAAAATTAATAGACTTATTAGTGTCGTTGTTGTGGTTGTAGCGAAGATAAACATTTCTAAAATAATTGTAAGGAATGTTGCCAAGTTGGCAGGCTTTGAGCGGATAAAAATTCTGGTCTCTACTAAAATCAATTTACACAACACACCAACAAATAGGTTATTTGTTATTGGTAGCTTGATACTATTTTATGAACTCTACGTATTGTAGAATAAATTTGTTCTTTAGTTGAACACGAAATCAATCCACACTTTGGACAACATGAATGTTTTATTAAAGGGTAAAAAAACATTTCTCTAATATTGTAATATTTTGCTAAAGTGAAAAATCCGCCTTGGTCCGGCACCGCTCATTAGCCGCTTGTCCTCGCAAGAACGATAAAAACAGGAATAATTTCCAACATTCATGGACATTCATGAATATGCGCGAATTTCTATGCGGTTATTAAAAGTTCAATACCGTCCAAACTTATTGAGATCTTGAAAATGAGTAAATTCGGAAATCCTTAACGTTGTGCCCCCATTGTCTTCCTCCTATTTTATTTTTTTTTTTAAACTATTTGTCACGGAAGTTCTCCGCAACCTTTTATGCAAAATTTTGACCTTTCGAAATTTTTTTTCTTAAATATGCATAAGCATTCATACTTTCTCTTTTTTAAATACTTTTTAAATACAGGTTTCGGCTTTTATGAGCATCGATTATGCGCTGATTGGCAATAATGCCAGTATCCTGATATCACCGTTTTCTGTGCATGGCTCACTAATAACTGTATGCAATAAGGTGAAAAAACATACGTTAAGAAATGTCGATGAGTATGTAGTGATGATATTAACTTGTGAACTGCTCAGCATCATTGATCATTTGCACGCCGTTAATATTATACATGCAGACATTAAAGCTGATAATTTTATTTTAATGAAGAAGTAAGCACAACAATGCATTTGCCTGCAATATATGTCTACTAAAACGTTTACTATGCTTTACACTTGCAGCTTGGATTATAACAGTACCCAGTACGCATTGCAGCTAATAGATTTTGGTGTATCAATTGATATGAAATTATTCAAATCTGGCCAGACGTTTAATTATGTGCATAATGAGAACGCGTTCAAGTGTATAGAGATGCGTGAAGGACGGCCTTGGACGTATCAACTGGACTTATACGGTTTGGCAGGTGTCATACATGTTTTACTCTTCGGTAAATTCATGGACATTGCACAACGCCCTAATGGTATATGGATGCATAAGACACATGTGCCACGTTATATCAATCGCACGTTGTGGGACACAATATTTCAGGCATTACTGAATATACGCGACTGTGAAACGATGCCGAATTTGCAAAATTTGCGCGCCCTTATCAAAGAAGAAATAGCTGCGAAGGAGAAATTCGTTATGAGGAAAATTGTAGAGTTTAATTCGGCGTTAAGTGCTTGAAAGTATAGAAATTGGAGACTTTGTAATAATTTGTTCACTATAATCACATTGTAACTATTTAATTGAAATACAATTAATAAATTTATTTTACTATATGCACGTTTTTACACTGAAATTTTCACATTTTTTCAGCATAGCTGCCAATGAGTTTGAGGAATTCAACTGTTTCTGATGAGCTTGATTGCGTGTGCTTAATATTTTCTTTTCGGCAGCGCACATTAAACGGTCCTTAATATAGCGATCCATCTCAAAGTCGGCCTCTTGAGGTACAATTTCATCTGGGTTTTTAGTAGACGCTGAATCGAGCGCTTTAATGATAAGACTGAGCAAGGCATGTGCCAACTTGTGGCACACTTCGTATTCCATCGCTTCGGGTGTGGTGTAATAAATAGCATTTTGATTGGTAGGTTGCACACCGATCGCCAGTAGAATGTTGCAGAATATGCCACGTTGCATGCGTGAATATGGCTCAACCAATTGTGGCGGTATTTGCATTGTGGTTGCCAGTTTCGCTATGAAATTCGAAAACTTCTTAATCAAAACATTGAGATACTGCGTGCGACACTGACGCTCAAGTTTGGTGAGCATTTCATAGTAAAGTTCCTGTTTGCGTTTGTAAAGATCTTCACGTTTTCGTTCTTTGCTTTTTTGACTCTTTATAATTTGTTCTAATTGCCTAAAAGTGGCAAAAAAAAAATGAGTATTTAATAAAATCTTTAAACTAATTTTTTGAATGAAATATTTAAATTTGTTGAAACAACATGAAAAAAAATTTTAAATTTGATCGCACCGAAGCTATACTATCGCAGATTGTGACGTTGTCTTGGAAAATTATTTGTTATATTATATCTATTTAATTAATTTCGTGCAGGATGTGTGCCAGATTTCAGATCGATATTTCAAAAACTGTGGGACTAGTTTGCGTATATAAAGAGAGACATGGTTAAATCGACTCAGCTCTATAGGGCCTGTAACGTTTCCTTCTGGGTGGCAAAGTTAATATTATATATCTTGTTCAGGGTATAATAATACGCCTACACGTTTTTAACTAGCATTGTTTTGGCGTCTTTCTTTTATTCTACTTACTCAGTTGATATAGCATTATATTTGCGTGCTAATCTTTTGACACGCTGACGTCTTTCCTTAGGCGTCAAAACTTTGCCATGCTCAAGATAGCTGTCGACAATGATGCGTTTTTGTGGACCTGATATTTGATCGGTACGTGGTCTAACGCATGGTGGCGGCGCTGGCTTATACGCCATACGGGCCACATAATTTTTTAGCTTTTCCATATTTTTCAGTTCTTTTTTTTTGTCCTCCAATATTATCTCCTCTTCTTCAGGTTCAATGGTGGATGAAGAGGGTAATGGCGCATCCCAATCATCAATTCCTTCGGAAGCCATTTCAATGTTTTTTGTTTTTACTTTTAATTTAGCCTTATTTTAAAAAGTTTAAGACGCCAAAATATTAGAACATAAAATTTTAAAAATGTAATAAATTATACAAAAATTTTTAACACAGTTTATATTTACACAAACTTAACCAGTAGTCAAAATATGTTTAAAAAATCGACAATTCATTTAAATTTAATGCACAGCCAACTTTCAGGCACTTCAAATAATTCGGCAGGATTTGAGCTGTAGCTTTGTTTATATGGCACATGCCAAGTATCCTTTACTTTGTGTGTGCAAAGCAGGTGACGTGTTGGTTCCTGCGTGTATATAAATGTTATAAAAAATTTTTAGTTTTTTTGGTGTAAAATCATTGTTTATAAGAACAGAAGAAATAATAATTACACTAGTTTACAGTCATTTTGCGACTGTGATGTTAGAGTCTGTTTCTTGCTAATTTTGGTTTGCTAAAACCGAAAATGACAGTAAAAATTTCCTAACACGTAGAATTTTTTATGTTGTAGTCAAGGGGTGTTTGACCCCTACACCTACTACAACCATTTACTGAAATGACAAAAAATAGCGGTACGTGATAGAAAATTTTTGAACTCAAATTCGTAATTAGGACACTTCAAATACGCCCACAGACCTCTTAGCACATCAATCGCAAATTTTTCTTTCAGATTTGGTGAGCAGTCTAATAAATAGAAAATAAAAAAGTTGATCTAAAAATACACTACCTTTACAATTATCCGTCCATTATCCGTTTGCGTAATAAACGAGTACTGATGTATCTGTTGCCAGTGCCGAAATATGGTACGCAACTCGTTTCCTAATAAAAATGCATGTGAACGCATCAAATCCCGTGAGAAGAAATCAGTTGATTGTCCACTTTTCAATGTGGCATAAAGCAGAAAGGGATCATCTTGCGAACTGAAATTTGAATATAAATATTTCAAATGATTATAAATATAAAACTGCTTACAGATTATTTGTCAGAAACAGACTAGCATTTTTCCGTATATAAAACATGGAATCTTTCGGCCAGCTGTTCATATGCTTGCGGCCAAGAACAAGTACATGTTTACCTTGTGTTTTAAAATGCTTCACTACATTTGCCAGCTAAATATGTACATAATATTTATAATTGGAAAATATTCAAAGTTAATAAACAAAAACAAATAACATACCAATGAAGCTAGCATTTTGGGTGTTTTTTTTGCGCCCATAGAGTATGCGACATTAAGGCCGTCGATAACGCAATCATATGGAGCTGTTTTCGTAACATAACGCTTGAAATGTTCCACCTCCTCTGGCGTTGATTTCTGGAAGACATCATTGCGTATGAGTACTTTATTTAAAAAGGAATTACTCAGTTTAGCAAACTCTGCATCACTTATTGTAATAGTCCGCATGTGCAATTTGCATTGAACACATTTGCCTTGTGTGTCTGTTTGAGATGACTGGACATTGTGTAGATTGTTATTTAATATATCAGCTATAACTTCCACCACATTTGCTGTTATAATCAATTCATACTTTTCCCAAAATGTAAATAATATTTCTAAATTACACTGTAGAGTCAATGGTTCGCGCGCTATGTACTGTAAATATGCTATATAAGTTTCACATTTAGGTTCCTTGCCTTGTTCCACGGTTTCATCGAGCAAATTCCATCCAATGTTTAATTCACCTTGCGTAAAAGCTTTTACTGTGAGTTCAGTATAAGCGCCGATACTTGGTGTACTAGTGATTTTTGTCATTGTTAGCAATTCTATACCCGTGCGCCATTCTTTTGTACATACCAAACCATATATTAAATTCTCACATGTCGTGGCGGCTAGAATTTCATAACGTTCACGTAATTTAGCATATATATCAAAAATATGCTGTTGTTCTTCAGGCGTAAGTGATGCATCATTTCCACCTTTTTTATGGTAACTTGTATTATAAATACGCAATAGACGTCCAATAGTTGCTAGGTTGGGTTCGAACCCACATTTGTGTAAATAATGCACATAGTTCTTGGCCAGAGGAAGTTGTTCGATGCTGCCACATAAACCAAGTATTATAGCATCCACATTACTATTAGTTATGTGTTTGTACTTAGAAATAAGATTATTTTGCAATTCTTGCCACTCACTGTCGCTCAACTCAGTTCGTTGTTCAAATAATTCCTTTTTCATGTCTAGCAAATGATCCGCATGCGGTACACTAAGCTGTGAGCGTTTGTAAGTGCTGGACTTTCTCGTAAGCGGGTTTATTAATTGAGGTGAACAAAAGATTGGTAATAAATTTTTAGTTTGGCGAAATATATGAAAACATAACATTTTATTCAAAAGTTAGTTGAATTGGTTGAGCAAAACGAATAAACAGAAGGTAGTATGGATTTATCAGCTGATCGGCAAAGGATGGTATCAACCCAGCAGGAAAAATTTTAAGTATTTACCGAACGATTTGTTTAACTACTAGAGCTTGAACTTTTAGAATTGGGTTGATTTGAATTGTTGCTGAATTCATATTTTCATAAAAAATATAATATGACTGCAAAATAATTTCAGTTCTGTACAGATCACCGTAAAAATGTGTTAAATGTCATTGTCACAATTATGCGAAAGGTCACAGAAATGTCGACTTGTATATTGTAAATTGAAAGCGCATCTCTAGTAATACGAACAGCTGGTAATGCTTTTTGTCTGTGTTGTTATTTTGTTTTTGGTCTCTTATTGTTAAACAACATTATTAGTAGGAATAAAATGATTAGATTTGATTGATTTAGGGCGCTATGATGTTTGAAGAGAATTTAATAAATGCTGTGCGCAAATATCCATGTTTGTATGATAAAAAAAACAAAACTTCTGATAAAACTCAACAAATTCTTAAAAGATGTTGGAAAAACATTTCAATTGAAACTGGTGAGCCTGGTAGGTTTATGTTTCTTAAATATGTGACTTTGAGCATACACAAGTTAATTTATATTTTTATTACATAGTGGAAAGGTGCCAATCCCGCTAGAGATCACTTCGTGATCGTTTTGTAAGAGAAAATAAAAACTATGTTAAACGAAATCAAAGAAGTATGTGGAAATTTATGGAAAATTTGGAGTTTCTCAAGGAGTTCATAGATACACGGTTATACTGAGCATAACACTTTTTTAAAGTATAATATTCCAGCCGAAAAAAATGCAAATTATCTTTGAAAGAAAACTCCCAGGACATATTACAAACAAAAAATGAAGAAACAAACGATGCAAGTTTGTGCAGTAATAGCAACAATCATTTTGAAGAGGAAATCTCTAATTCTTTCCCAAAAGAATCGTGTGAAGAGAGCTTAGATTTCGAATTTGACGATTTTGCAGGTATCGAGGTTCGGACTGAGCGCAATATGCCACATATTGAAGCTCTGATTGAAACGCCAGTTAATGACCCATCTGGCAGTCAATCTTTTAGAGAGATAATACGATCAAGAACTCGTACAAGAGACGCTGAAGCAAATTTTGATATGTTGGTTGGTACACTGAATGAGTACATTAAATGTCGAATTAATGACAGAAAGAAAAGGAAACATGAAGATTTTTTTGGACTACTAAACACCTATTTTTCCAAATTACCAGAGAAAGAACAAGATAATTTAAAGGCTGATATTTTAATTATGGTTTTAAATAAAACGAGAGAAACGTAATCACTTTGTGATTTTTTTTGTAATAATAAACAATCAATTTAAGTTCTTGGTTAGTATTTGTTATAGCTTTAGAATATTAAATTTATATATGATGTTTTTATTATCATAGATTGTGTCATTTCGAAGTATTATGTAGTAGAAAATGTTATTAAGAGAAAAGAAGTACATATATGAAATACATGCTTAATTCATTTAGATGCTTTTATACTGGAGGCTGCTAGGCATTTATGTGATTTTGATAAATTTGTGTGGCACTTGTACGTTTGTTGCTGGAGGATATGTTAACTAAATGGTTTTGGTTTGGTGACCAAGCTGTATATATTGGAACAGACATAAAGAAATATTTTTTTAAAACATAACATAAATTTTTTTAATGTCTTGAAGGAAATATTTATTTTCAAAAAAGTTATATTTCCTAAAAACTTTTATACATCTTAATAACAACAGAAAAATTACCGTGGAACTGTACAATCTGCTACCCTTATGTATTAATAAATCAATACATATTATTTACAATTATTTTAACAAATCATAGTCATATTGCACTAACATAGATATCATAAAATCGGGTCAATACAAGTATTTATGGCTAAGAGAATCCCAAACTGTTAAGAAGTCACCATAAATGCCTGTTTCCGAACTAATTCTCTGAATGTACCAGTTTCATTTGTTATCAGCTCATTGTAGCATCCTTGCTCTACCACACTGCCATTTTCTAAAACTGCTATTTTATTAGCGTTTCGTATAGTGCTTAACCTATGCGCAATTGTAAGTACTGTTCGTCCTTTCGATACTTGCTCGATAGCGTTTTGAACCAATTCTTCCGATACCGAATCCAGAGCGCTAGTTGCTTCGTCCAATATCAATATCGCTGGATTCTGTATAGAATATTTATTTTATGAATTTTCTCAAGGCGCATTGTGAAATTATATTACCTTTATAAGCGCTCTTGCTATCGCTACACGTTGCCTTTGACCGCCACTTAACATCATACCGCGTTGCCCAACAAGCGTATTCAGACCATTCGGTAGTTGTGAGGCGAATTCGTCAACATGTGCTTTTCGAATGGCATCTTCAAATGCTTCTTCGTTTACTTTAGTGTCGGGATTAAGGCCGTACAGTATATTATCACGTATTGTTCCAGAAAATAACGTTGGTTCCTACAGTTTTAGTTTAAGCTAAACACCTCTAAATCTGATAAGTTAACACACTTGCCTGATTTACTGCACCAATATGACTACGTAGCCAGATTGGATTTAATTCCTTCATATCTATACCATCCAACAGCACTCGCCCATGCAGCGGATCATATAAACGCAACAACAATGTAGATATTGTGGTTTTCCCTGAACCACTACGTCCCACCACAGCAGTGGTCTCGCCTGGCAGAAGAGTGAGATTGAAGTTGTTCAAAATGATGCTCTCCACACGCGATGGAAAACTGAATAATACATTCTCAAACTTAATTTCACCACGCGGAGCAATTTTCGGTATGAAACCTGTATGCAATGGGATTGCATATTGACGATCGAGTATTTCCCAGACACGCTGGGCTGCTCCTACACCTTTGTTTAACTCTGTATAAAAATTGGAGAGCCCATTTATAGATATAGCAGAATAGGCAGCATACAGTATGAAAGAGGTCAGTGCGCCTATACTGAGTGCATCACTAATAACTAGTGTGCCACCATAATATAGTACTGAAATTATTATCACGTTGCCAGAGAAGCCAGTCTGTAAGAAATATAAAGTGTGTATATATTTTTCGCTAAACTATTTTTCCCTGATTACCAAACCAAAGAATAAGGAACGTGCTTGCACTTCTTTATAACCAAGACTTAAAGCATCAGCAAGTAACAGCTCATACGCTTTGCTCTCTTCCTGTTCTTTGCAGAATCCTTTTACTGTCTTTATATTGCCCAAACGCTCCTCCACGGATTTTGATATATTAGCAAATTTGTCCAAAAGATTACGTGTAATGTTGCGAACATAACGTCCATATACAATAGCCATACCAGCGACGCATGGTACAACACATGTGCTCACTAGGGCCAGACTGGGTGATGTATATATCTATATATTTGAATAAAATAAAGTGAATAATTTCGATAATATTGACTAGCATATTTGTATGTACCATCATAGATGTGCCCGCTATAATCATGACAGTAGAGCGCAGGCCATCCGATAAATTTTGACTTAATGAGTTGCCAATCATATATGTATCATTAACTAAACGATTCAGTAGTTCTCCGGTACCTTTCGTGTCGTACCAGCCCGTTTCTTGCAAGAGCATGCGCCGATACATTCTAGACCGCAAATCTTTCACAATGCGTAAAGCTTTAGCAGACAGTAAATTTTATCTCATTACTTGGGAAATATAAATCATAACGGCTTACATGCACTATTGAAGAGGTAAACACGGAGATAGTTGGTCAAACCACCGAGCACGAATATGCCTAACAGAATAATGGAAAATTCCTTCAATTTCTCCATGGTCTCTGCATGCGTTCCTTTCTTATCAAAAATTATGTCTAATATCTTTCCCAATGCGAATGGTACACTCATTGTTATGGCCGAAGAAATTACCAAACAACCCATTGCCGCTAAAAAATATTCAAATATTTACAGGCTTTGTTTATATAAGAACTTGTATTGCAAATCTCACATACCTATAAGTACCATTTTTTCTGACTTCGCTAAGCCTATAAGACGTATTACATCCCTTCTATGTAATTTAACCTTGTTGATTTTTTCAGCTTGCTGTGCATTATTGCTAACATTACCACGAAATCGCGCTAATCGCAGACAAACATTACCTCGCACAGTGGGCACGAATATTTGTTTTTGTAATGAACTGCCATGCACTGTGATAAAGCCTCTGCTAATGGTTGTTGATCTTAAGGACACGAACGATTGGCGCAAACCACTGTGACTTGTAAGTCGTGTAAGCGCGCCTTTTATACAGGCACAGCGTATTATCATTTTAATAAGTATTTATTTTAATTTAAAAAAATACAAATTTGTGCGCGGTATACATAACAACGTACGAAAAACACATCTCACGATTAAAACAGCTGTTAGTAAACTATCAAGGTTGCCAAAAGTTTAATATTTGTATGCTTATTATTGATGATTAAAAAATCGATAATTGTAATTTGGGTTACTAAAAATCAAATTCTTAAACTTTTTATTCTTTTAAGCTAAATATAGATATGTATTTTATATATTTATTACGCGTACATCGACAAAAAGCATAACAACAAAAGCCGTTCTCTCGACAGCCAGGTCTAAGTAACCGGAACGAACAGATTTTTATCCGGCCAAGGCCTGTCATCTCGGCAACATTCCTCAAAATTACTTCAGGAACAACAACAACAAAATGGTCTATTTAACTGGTTCGTACTCTGGTTTTAATTTGGCCTAGGTAGTCATCCTGGCGTTTGGCATAAAAATACAATGGTTTCTGATGTAATAAAAGAAAGGTAGTGGCTTTATTTAAATTTACTATGCAAGTTTGAAAAATATTTTTCGTTATAACAACAACAACATACTTGTATATAGTTGTTACTGAACACAAAGTAATGGCTGCTTGCGTTGATTCAGTTCCACTCAAGCTCCTTGGGTGACCATTCCTAGTTCTAGGAGATTTATCTAAAATCAATTGGACAAAAAAATTAGTTTCATTAATAGATAATCTAAAGCCTGATCGATGCAATTTCTTTTAAATTAACAAAAAGGCGAGCTCAGGAAAAATGTTTCCAGATTTTCGTTAATAAACCACAGTTAATTGTTTATAAGAAATTGAAATTAAAAAAGAAAAAACCTTTCTAACAGGCACCCGTTTTTTATTATTTCAAAAAGCTGTATAAATTTCATTGAAATCTACAGAACCACTCTGGCTCTCAAGCTACAGTAGTCACCAGTTCAAAAAATATAGTTTTGAGAAAAACGCATTTGAAGTTTTACAAGAACGTTCCTGAGCACCTGAGAACCCTTTGCGAATTATCGACTAACTCGAAAAGTATTTGTCGGATTTACTTCAAAATCAGAGACTATTTTTGAGATTATAATTTAAGAAAATTCAAATCGATACCTAATTTTATACCTTAAAGCCACTACTTTTGTAGAGTACTAGAAAAAAAGAAAATACTTGTAAATAAATATTATTTTTGTTGTACATTTTAACTTTATTTTCAATGATCTCATTTTATGCATCATTACTTAGTAAATATTAATGCGTATATGGGAAGTCGATTATGTGTATATATATATGTATATATATTATATAATTATTTGAGTTTTAAATTCTTAATCTAATATATTATATAAACATACACTACATTAGTAGTTTACGAAAAAAAATTGAAACATACTTCATACATATAATCTTATATAAGGTAAATATTGAAAATAACTTGTGTTTTACGTGGGCATATATTATATATCTCATCTGAATCTTTCCAAGAAAGTAAAGTAATATTTATAAACATTATTATTCTTGAAGGTTCCCTATATATTGTTAATTCCCATAGCTTATTTAAACTTATTCTTATATGTATATTCAAGTCTAAATTAAAATATGAGCAATGTTATTGTTCATTTTGTAGTTTAGAACATTAACTGTATATTTGTACTGTTAAGAAATTTAGACGGTATACCATTTATGACACAAAAGCTCAGCGCTTACTCACGTTTTACAATACGCTGCAAGAAGAAGAGTTTTTGAAGTTACTTCTATTCAATACTTCCAAAATGTATCTCAAAGTTGGCTCCAGTGTTTCAGAATTTTTAATTAAACATTTTATTTTAATATAATGACTCTCTTGGTATGCCTGATTTTTGAATATTTACAGTGGTAAATGTCACATGCATTTTTGAGCTTTCAGTTATACCTTTAGTTACAAATATCTGTTGCAAAATTTGTAAAATTTTAGTTTATTCAAAGAATATTTGTTTGATTTTTAAGGTGTTCGTATTACTTACTTACATATTTTGTTAATATGTGTACACTTTTTTATAATTTAATAATATGTTAGAAAGTGCTTTCTTTCCGTTTTTCGTTTTCTAATTTAAGCTTTACCTCTCAGTTTTTATTTTTAATTATTACTTTCATATAATATTTATTTTCAACTTTTTATAAGTAGAGATCTTAAATTTCTTGTAGATTGTCTTAAATTTGGCATCTGATATATTAAAATAATAATAAAAAGTAAAACACGGGACAAATAATAAATGAAAAAAGCAAGTTGTTAATATTTTTCATAATTTTTTTCAATGTCCAAGCTCTTCTTAAAACGGCTATTAAATGCCATGAACGTTGGGCGCACCCACGACTATCGGATATACTTGTATGTAACCGAAATGTACACTGATTTTTAATTAGCTGCCAACTCGCGAGTATTGCTTAAAATTGTTCCGGAATGTTTTTCCGCTACAATTTTTCAAAGAAATCTGCACTTACGCTTTATTTTCTGTGAGTCTATGCTACTTCATATGTAAATTTAACATATTTTGGTTGGTTCTATAATATTATATTATTCAACTTGACTACTTATACAGTGTTGCTTCCGACAGAATATGTAACGATTGTTTCTTTTAATTTCGCACTCTAATTTGATGTACAAGAAAGCAACTACACGAATTTGATTTAGCTGGGTATTTTTCTTGCTGTAATATGCTATATGACTATATTTTATACTATTACAACAACAACATTTTTGTAGTATTCCAGAAAACTCACATAAGAATTGAATTATCTTTTTTAAATTTAGAAACAAGAAAAAAAGTTAACTTTAGCTGCACCGAAGCTATAATACCGTTCACTTACAGCAAATATTGGTTTAACTAAATCTGAACAATATGTTCGAATTTCGTGAAGATACCTTGCCAAATAAAAAGAGTCCTACACGTAAGTTTTCCCGTCGATAATTCAAGAAGATATCTTTGAAACTTAAAACTTTCAAAGAAAACGGAGCATACAAGTTTTTTAAATTAAAGTAATAAAAAATTATTAGTTATAGAAATAAAATAAAAATTAAATAGTAGCCTTATTTGCCACTACTGCTGCGCCTTATCTGATTTAGTTGATTAATTTTCCTTTAATTTTAATAGATATTCTGAAATAAAATTTTTTAAACTGAAAAATAAATAAAATGTGTTTAAATTAGTTTGAAATATGTAAGTATATTTATCGTGTTGTTTCTTTATACAAATCTTATGAATATTTACACAAATACAAGTATAGTGGGTAGTTTTAAGCATTTAAACACTTTACATATAAAATATGATATTTGGGTATACTTTCATTTACAAATTAGCATGCTAATTCTTAAAGTATAACTGTTACATAATTAGTTTTTGCGCATAAATTTGCGTTTTTAATTTTTGGTTTAATTTTTTTAACAGTTTAGTTATGCCAATTTTGTATTAATGCATTATTAGCGCTTAATTATTTTTTTCTATTGTTAACGCCGATTTATGGTAAATCTTTTTTTCAATTTTCTTTAATGCTTTTAAGCATTTTTTAGTTGATTACGAAATTAATTGAAAATAAAAATTATATATTTCAAATATATTAAAATGATTTTGCTTTGTAAATTTGTCTTATAATTGCTCTCTTCCTCAATATTTTTTTTGATTTGTAAACGCAATTGTTCATTAAGGATACAAAATTAATTCGAATTATTATATTAAGTGTCATTAGTCAGTAGTCTCACTTAATTTATAACTAGCTACATACATTTATATGGTAGTCTTATACTACGTTTACAACACACAACTTTATATTGTTTATAGGTGTGTGTGGGCTTTCGCTTACAATTAACTTATCGCAATACTGTTTAGTATACTCGTAAATGCATACATATATATAGCTACATATGTATGTTATGTATATGTGTAAACACAATGAGAGTGGTTAGTGAGCAATGGTGCATAATGATTTGATTTCAATTACAACTAATTAAAATTAATCCGCGCCTTAACGAAATATCATATTGGTTATTTGCTCTTCTGCGCATGCCTAGCTGACTTCAGGCTTTTGATTTTGTGGCAAAAACCGAAAGGTTTCCTAAACAGCTTCTGCGCGCTGCTTTGCTTCATAAATTTTGAGATTATTTTAAAATAATCTTGCTTTATGCGTTAAGAGCGCTTAAGCTGCTTCTTATTTTACACCATATCTAATAGGTTGTTGTGGGCCAAGCGATTTTGGCGTCAATGCGTTTGTACGCCAACATGCAGTGTTTGCCCTTTGACGCGAAACGCACATCCTGTGGGCATTCGGCGTCATTCAATAGCGTTTCCTCGCCATCGACGAGCTTAAAGAGCGCATAGTCTTGTGGATTGGTTATGCGTGCCTTATGCGCAATGATGCGGCATACGTCGCGCGTAGTGGTGTGCGGGCGCACGGGAAGGGTGCGCGTTTGTAATGAACCGTTGCATTCGTCGGGTATGATGACGCGCAGCACCGATGAGCAGGCTGGTAGCGATGAGGAGCGCCACTGTGTAGAGAAACAAATTAATTATTATTTTACTATTAAAAATAAGTTCAACGCACACTGCAATACTTACATCTAGCGAGCCCGTGCCGTTTTCGCTCTCCGAAGCCATGAAACTTTTGAGCACATGCACAGCGCTGCAGAGCGCCGTCAAGTAGTAGCCCGCCTCGCCACTCAGCAATGTCGGCTGTAGAAGACCCCACATAAATTCAGCTTCTATCTCGGCGCCTACGAAGCCACATTTGGCCACCACATATACCAGCACGGGTAAGAAGTCGTCGGCGCCTAATTGTTGGCCGCGTGGACAGCCCGTGGCCTCAAATATTGTCGAAATGATGCACAAAAAAAGATCTAGCTTTTCGAGCGGTAGTTCGGCTTCTTGCAGGCGCTGCAATAACGCTGATATTGCTTGCAATGATGTGGGCGATGGCGGCGTAACTGTGGCGCGTATGCCAAAATCGGCTGGACTGCGTCCGCAGGCGTATTTAACATTTTGTGCCAATAGCTGTATGTCTTCCGAGCGTTTGTAGTAGTCTACAAACATACCGTAGAGATGTTCGCGCAGCGGCAGCACAACCAATTCATGCATTACGGTCTCGAGTATGGCGTCCAAATTGAGAAACTCGTCCGCTTTGAGACGCGAACGCGCCGCTTCGATTTCTTGATGGAATTTACCCTCGCCGTGCTTTACGAGATAGTTCTTCATGCCGTTCATGAATTGACGCATATTGCGCATAACGACCTGTGGCGCCGCTTCGCGTGACTCCTTAGTGCAGGAGATGAAGTTTTCGATATTGCGCGCAAATGTGGAGCACGGATCTTGTGCGAGTTGTAATGTGCAAGCGCGCACCAGTTCGCCGGGACCACCATTGGACGCGTTCAGCTTGTTGCGTGGGTGACCTGTGTATGAGAAAAGGAAGTTAATAAAATTTACAATTTTCATTAAACAACCGTGCAACAAGATAAACTTTTTATAAGATGTATAATTAAATAATAAAAACTGTGACGCTGAGCTCTGAACACCTTTTAATTCCCTTTATGATCAAAATACTTTTAAAGATTATTGAATATTTTGTAATCCGCTTGGGTGGGAGTGAGTTGTACTCTCTCAAATAACCTCTCTTTCTTAGATTATTTAGCCGGTCTTTCAGAGAGAGTCACTTAATTGAGTCAATTAGCAACTTATCTATACATAACGGGTTAATAGACCACCCATGCCACGCAGGTTCTACATATTTTATAGTTTCAATAACTAGTCGAACTCACCACATACTAAACACCACAGCCACAATAAGAAACGCTTAAACGCCTCAAAGCAGTTAATATGCACTCTTCTTTCATCCAAGGGTTTGCATAGTTTCCGATACTGTGTGTATAAGCGATTATTTTGTGTCACTGTCAAACCGAATCCTCTCGTCTCTGTTATATGATTCGTGTTCAGCAAGATGTTTCCACAATCATCGAGTCGAAAAAACTGCTTAATATCGTAGTGATCATGGTTGATTCGGCTCGTTGGATGACAAAGATCACCTGAATTTGTAATGAGATCAGCTTCAGAGGAACGTGGTGTACTATCCCGATCGGGACATTTGCCAATAGCGCCCATTATAGAGCTAGCTAAGGCTTCAGTCTTAAGTTGATTGCGATTAATGGCACAGTCTTTAATTACCTGATTTGCGCAGGCGTTTCGTATTGGTGTTTCCTCAACATCATTGAAGCTCATTTGCAGCGATGATAAACTAGAAGTTATTGTGCTACTCGAATTTTTATGAGTGGCTTCGCTAACTTTTCGTTTGAATTTCATGTGATTTGTGATGTGTGAGTCATGCCCTGGCGGTACTAAACCAAGTTGTATTTTCTCTTTAAATAGAATATCACAGAAACGTGTTTTTCTTTTTCTCTTACGAAGCCTGCGTGCAGCGTTCAACTCTCGCTTTTCGCAGCTCATATTTTCTGGCTCTTCAAAAGTTGTTATCACATTCTTTTCACAAGTCGGCAGCGCTTGAGTTCTTTGCTGTAATAACTCATCTTCGAAATCGGCCGAGAAAAAGTTAGTCATGTTTGCAGGATTTGTTACAATTTCCCATTCCGACATGAGTTCCAGAAATTCGGCTTCCTCCTTATAGTTACGCACATGTTCGGGATCATGAAAGAACTCCTCAGGATCCAACACTTCCATGTGTCTACTATACAAGGAACTGGAAGGTCTGCTAACTTCGTCCTTGCCGTCATAGTTAGTCTGTTCTGATGTTTTCTTTATGCGTTTGTGTCGCTGTTCACGCTCTTTCTTATTATGCGGGTTCGCGGCTTTTTCGCACGACAACTTTTTGAACCAATTCATGGTGAATATTATAAAGATTCTTTCCAGCAAAAACGAATTGTCGAAAACGAAAGTTTCTCATCGGCACACACGGAGTAGTGGTGCGCGTACGGTGCAAACCGAATAACACAGCCGAAACCAAGCCACTGAATGGCTGTACCGAGCACTTTTTTTGTGAATCAAACGCTATTTAAAAAATCTGTTTTCAATTTATTAACTTTTTTTGTATTTACTAGAACAGCTGTGTTATTAAAAAAAACTCAATTTAGCGAAAACTTATTTTCGTGTCGACCGCACTCTTACACGCCGATCACAATGCAAGCGTGATCGAATAAATTATTAAACGCCAACCCGTCACTTTTACTGCTTTTGCTGCTCATACGACGAACGCAAAATAATTACTGCTGCATGCCACATTGTCCAGCAGTGATTTTATAATTAAAATAATTGCGAGTAGATTCTACTGAGCGTTATCGCCGCAGTATACACACGCTTGCTGCTCTTGGCATTCTCTTCATAAATTATGTGCTACCTGGTCATCGAGTGGAGAGAATAAGTCATTCTGGTACGAAATTTCTTATCTGTTCCGATCCCACAGCCTGCTGAGAGTAATTACAATGATTGTGTCTCTGTTTACATACAGCGGAAGCGGACAAACGCGAGTGAGTGCTGTTAACAGGTAATGAGTTCCGGTCAAAGGCGTTTCATTTTTTGGAAACGTGTGTGTGTTGAGTGGTAGTTTCGCAAACCGCTTCAATACAGGGAAAACCCTTTGAAAATTCAAGCAGTGACAAAAATATAAACTACCTTCGATCATATGCAGTTTTGGTACAGTTGAGTAGGCTAAGCTATTGTGCACCACGCAGGGTTTACCGAAGTATTTAGTTTATAAATTTGTTTTGGTGTTCGACCAGATTAACTATACAGCGACGCCATACCGCTACTAAACTTGGTTTTATATATGCTCTCGAAACAAACTGCATAAACATAATTTTATCCAACTTTAGAAATCTCAATCTATAATTCGTACCAGCTCTCAGGCTACATATACTTTAGATGATAAGAGGATTTTGTCGGCTTACGCACTTGAAGTTATAATCTAAATGTATATGCATATGTATATTAAGGATGTTCGTAATGCACCGATATGCTATATACTGAGCTTTAGAATTATTGAGCGGCCGACTGTGCTGCACTCATCATCCTCAAACTTTTTGGTTTTTCTGTTATATCTTTTCATAAGTGATTTTTGGCGACTCTTTTAATTTTAATTTTTATTCATACAGGTTGTCTTTGTTTAATTGTAGCTAACCGAAGCTACTACATTCTGATCTTCTTCAAAACTTTTTGTTTTCCGGTTATATCTTGGCCTATGTTATTTTCGTTTTTTTGTTTTCGGATGGCTGTGGTGCTCTCATCTTTACTACGCTCCTGCCCTTTTATTTTGCTCGTTTTGTCTTGACGTAAGCGATTTTCCGTGAGTCTGTAGTACTTTTTTAATGTTATCTTTTATTTAGTTATTGCTTCGTGAGATTCTGTGCCCGATAATTATGGTCATCTTCTTCAAGTCTTTTAGTTTACCCGTTAATTCTAAACTCTCTCTTCCTTTGTGACTAAAAGAAGCTATCGAAAAGACTTTGCGCTTGATCATTAGGGCGTGTCCTGACAGCAGTAGTGGCGCTTCATCTTATTAATGTTTTTTAACTTTCTAGTTATTTCTTGGAAGTGCAATTTAATTTGATTGGTTCTGTTAAGATGTCAGAGTTCAATATTTTTTAGGACTTCCTACGATAAAATTGAAAGACTGGAATAGTGCTTTTCGCCACATTTGGGTTACGAAGCGGATTGTGTTCGGAGTGTTGTTTTTCTTTTTTTTTATTAAATTCCATCAGAATTTTTGTACATGCATTTCTTAAATTTTTTTTCAGAATAATTGGAACACTCTTATGATCTTCGATATTAACAAGTTTTAAAAACTTAAAATTTAATCAAATAAGCATCACCCTAGTAAAATGTAAGTTCACTTTCAAAGTTTGCGAAATCATAATATTTTTTTCTTGTAATTCGTTTGGCGGCACTTCAGGCCAAACCGACGATATGGATTAAAATTAATAGCAACAACAATGGGTATGTATATATGTACTTATAACTGTATATTTCTATGCATATGTGTGCAAATTAAGTGGGTTAAAAGGAAATGAGTAGCAATGACTTGAAGCTCAAGTCACTTGTCGCACTTATTGCATGACTCAAGAACGGTTTATTCATACTTATGTACATATATACTATTAGCATATGTGTATATACGTATTTTTTTATTGTAACAATAACACTTTGCAATTTGCTTATCTAAGCTAGAAGATGTTCTCTTTTTATTAGCATTTGTAGTATGGTTTATGAGCAAATGCGCTCAGCGCTAATTATAGTTTACAGTAATACTCATATACAAATGTACATATGTATTTATGTATGTACGTATGTACCAAATAGAACGAGGCTCATTATATTTTTGATAAAATATATTTTTTGCTGATTTTTTTAAAACTGGATATTTGAAACACGGCATTGAAATACTGACAAACATATGTAAGAATGAAGTGAGTTTTATGGTATAAAATATAAGCTGGTAAAAGTGACACGAAAAACAAAAAAGAAAGCGTTAACTTCATAAACACAAAATATTCCATACCAGCACTTGATATCAATCGGTGAGTTAGTATAGCAGCTATATTCTATAGTGGTCCAATCTGAATAATTTCTTTAGAGATTGTACCGTTGCTTTGGGCAATAAGCCATGACGACTTTCGCTGTATGGTATAGTGGTCCGATATCGGCCGTTCACACAAATGTGTAGTTTCTTTAAAAGAAGAGGACGAGCGCAAAATTTCAGATTGATATCTTAAACACTGAGGGACTAGTTGGCGTATATACAGCCTGACAAATGGATATGGCTAAATTGACTCAGCTCGTCGCACTGATGTTTTATATATAAATATATATGTATGTATATATAACGGGTGATCCAAGTAGAGGTACTTTCTTTAATAGCCTTTTTTTGACAGATCACGCGTGAGTCGTGTCAAGTTGTTACGTTATTTTTGTTCATTATTGTTTGGCATTTCATCATGGAAAGATTTACGCCTGAACAACGTTTATAAATCGTTCAACTTTATTACGAAAATTCACGTTTTGTAAAGAATATGTTTTGCGCGCTTCGCTCAACTTATGGTCAACATAATGGGTATACTGAGCGTACTATTCCGAACACCATCACCCATCTTGAGACCCAGCATTCAAAATTAGATAATATTCGACCGAATAGACCACGTCCAGCGCTAAGAGTGTACACGAAGACTGTGGAGAGTCGATTCGACGCCGTTTGCGGCAACTCGGACTGACGTATGGAACGACTTGGTGCATTTTACGTCGAGATCTTAAATTGAAAGCGTACAAAATTCTGCTTGTGCAAGAATTAAAGCCGCTCGACCTACCCTAGCGAAATCGCTTCGCTCTATGGGTTCTTGAAAAGTTCTAAGATGATCCGACGTTTTCGAGCCAAACAAGCAAAATTGCCGCATTA